CTAGATGAGGGGTACTCTGCCTTCGTCGGAGGGTTATATTCGTTATTTTCTGGTAACATTTTCTGTGGAAGCCTCCGTTTTCAGGCCAAACATCACTACGACATAACTCCCTGAGCTCAGCTAAATTTTCTACGGCAACAGCTTCACTAGTGCATATTTCACACACCTTCTTCCACGTTGTATGGGTGAAGGGCTTCACCTCCTCACCGCACTCCGGAACGTGAATGAGACACTTTAAACTCATCACGACGCTTACTTCTAGTGCTACTTGACCACAGACATACTAGTACAAACTGAAACAAAAAAACCAATCTCGAAATGAAAGTTCAAACTGAGAAGGAAGATGCCAAGTATAGTGGGTGCACTCCTGCACTGCAGTGCAGAGTTAGAATTGTGGGTCCGGGTGCACGCCTGCAGAGAGTGTGCAGTGTACCAGATCGTACCAGATCATGACTTGACATGACAGGTAACACTGAATTCGTGTACTTTCGTCTATTCTGGTGCATAATCACATTTCACAGCACCACACACAACGCGCATGCATGAATGCATACAAAACAATGGCCGCCGAGAGAGAAATTTTCAACATGGAAAAGCCGATTTTTGGATACCTTTCAGAAAGTTGTCAGAGTGACAACAACCGGAATCCTGCTCAGTAAGGTATCCAGAGTAGACGTGGCCAATAAAATTGCGGTGCCCAAAAGTCGGAACGAGATTTTTCTAGGAGGCCTTTTTTCAGGTTTGGCCCACGGACTAAGGTCTCAGCAGCGCCGAAACGAAATAAGCCAGGCCAGGAGACAAAATATCCGAAACAGCTCATGTAAGAAACTACTTACGTAGCTACGTAGACAACGTGTCTGAATAGCGGTGTCGTTAGGTAGCGCCATGTGAACACAATCTGTCCCTGCGGGAATTTGCGGAAAGAACTCTCGAAAACTTGCGCAAGAAATTGCGGCAGAAAGTAACAAAAAATGCGACGAAAAGTGCGGAATGATGCAGAACTTTCCAGGAATTCGCGGAATTATTTGCAGAAAATTGCGGATTTGGGCCAAATCACGAAATTTGTTGCATCGTATATCTACTCGGGAGTCGTACTGTGCAAATAACCTACAGGATCATGGAAAGAACTGCGTGAAAAGTGCATAAAATGTGAGATGTAGAGTGCAGAAAACAACAAAAAACGCGGAAAATCACGGATTTTGCTGAAAATCGCGGGTTTGGGCCAAAATCGCGAAATTTGTTGCATCCGTGGAATCGCGATTTCCTGGAGGGACAGCACAATAATAGAAAAGCTGACAGGATCGCTTTTCTAAATTTCCATCAGTTCCCACAACATGCACGATGAGCTAAGTAACAAAGCATAGCGTAGGGCCCTGAGCTTCCAAGCTCTCTCGTTCTGTCCCATGCAGTTCTGATCTGACTTGCGTTGCGTCGTAGTGCTGCATGCAGGTTCAACTGCTGTGGTCATGTAACTCGTGTTGGATAGCCACATGGTAAAGCCTATGGGACTATGACCAGCCGCATGCACAGTAGCACTACGTTCCGTGACATACGATGATCTTCCTGCCCCTGCGTACATGCATATGATATTATAGCAATAAAAACTGCTTTATGGCAGTTTTCTAAAAAAGGTTATTGTGTTCTAGTCCATGGACCCCGTCTAAAAAGTAAGAAATTAACGAAATGTGATAGCTGAAAATTAAAATTTCACACAAAACCTCACAATAATCACAACACTTGAAATGCTGCTTTCAACACTAAAACTTGTACTGCACCAACAATTGGCAACATGAATGTCATGCATGCATAGGAAAGAGGATCACGAGGGGAAAAGGTCTTCTGCATGTAGCTTTTCATTCTGTGTGTGATTATTGTGAGGTTTTGTGTGAAATTTTAATTTTCAGCTATCACATTTCGTTAATTTCTTACTTTTTAGACGGGGACCATGGACTAGAACACAATAACTTTTTTTAGAAAACTGCCATAAAGCAGTTTTTATTGCTATAATTTCTTTTGTTTTTTCTGTCACCATGTACCAATCAATGGAATGCCCTATATCAATATGTAAATGATGGCCTTCACATCATATCAATACCATATTATACGCATTGATGTGCAAGCCTTTTCTTGCAGAAAATGGCACTAGCATAATGCATGTTCTTCTGCGGGGAAACATGTGAGCAGTGGTGGTGATACTTTTTTTATACGGAGGCCATTCTGTGCATGTTGCTGTTGCAGAATTTCATGACTCTGTCATAAAATTGTCTTGCCTTTCAGATTTCTCCACCCTCAATCAGATTTATTTGAGAAATGTAGCCATGCGCCAGGTGCGTGTCGCAGATGTTTTTGTTGATTCTGTGTTTATAATGGTTTATAGTCATGGGTTATCGTGATAAGGTCATCCAGCATCATTGAAACTGAAATCGTAATCCTGTTGATGTCGATACAACTTGTGGAAGTAGTTCAATGACTTCAAACTGTTAGTCCACGATTTTCTAAAACAACACAGCAAAGGAGGAACAATAAACATGTATTAAAATGTAAACAAATACATTGCTGAGTCCGACACCTCGTTCCAACAACTACACTGATGATGACTGATCCTGAGGATAAAAGGGGCAAGGCTATGGTTGGAGGTACTGAGAGATAAACAAGGCACTCCACAATAATAAAATCTTACACATCTTTTGGTGAGTATGAATGATATCCAGTCGAACCTCTTTAGGACGAACACCAAGGGAACGATGGTATTTATTCTGTGAGCTTAACCTATTTTATAACCAGAGAATACAATTATATCTCCAATAGACATACGAATAGATTTCTTCTACAGCGAAAGATTCTAAGCCACACCGACTCATTGACTCGTCTCGTATGAAACAATTGAGTCACTAGAGAGATTCTGCAAAACGAAATGCGTACAAACTTTCGCTCTACATCATGAAGTGCGAAACTTGCAGGGAACGCGAAATGAACTGTCGTAGGAAATTTCGTGAGATCGGGTCATGGCGTACGTGCACTTGGCCCGCGCAAACTACGAAAATGTGCAGAACGCAAAGTTCGTGCAAAAATTCGCACACACTTTCGCAAGGACTGTCGCGAAACTTCGTTCGAATTTTCGTTTTGCAGAACCTCTCTACTGAACCTTTCTTTAGCAACATGACGGCAACTGAAACAGCAACAGAGAAAGTACATGTACTCCACATTCTTACAGGTACTACAAACAGATTGCAGATCGCAATTCTTGCTTTGGCGGCACGAAACTTTATTTGGGGCAGTGCAATCTCGGCGGTACTCACAAATCAAACAGCCCAGACTTGAGTAAACAAATCCAATCATACAAGTACGAGATTTTCACGAGACGAGACTGCACCCATTGGCTTGTTTCGTATGAAACAAACAAGTTACTGAACCTCTCCACAATAGAGATTTCCCCTGATATGCGAATTTATTTTGCAAACTCGGTCAATTGGTACTTGAACCTTTCCCTCCAGATTGGGAACTGCCAACGATAGGATGCCACTGACCAGTGCCTTACTTGTAACGTACCAATGTACAATGAATATGAATATTTCGACAACACATCTAACATAAGCCTTACCGTCAAGAAGTTGAACTCGCGTTCTTCGCACACTGTAGACAAGGGCAAAGAGATAAAAATTGATCTAAATCCGAATAAAATCAGCACACGTTTCCGTAAATGAAAGGTGAACATAAGCACATGAATCGAAGGAAACCGGTCAACTAGTTACTTAGAGATCACCTGTCATCGAGTATTCCGTAAAAGGAGGCCTCGCAGCTCGGCAGCAGAAGAGCAAAATTTAGAAAAGAGATTATGTCAACTTTTCCATTATTAAATTCCGCCCCAAAATCAGCACACTTTTCCTGAATGAAAGAGTCAACACAAGCAGAATCAAAGGCAACTGGTCAACTCACCTGTCATTGAGTAATATTCCGCGAAAGGAGGTCTCAGCAGCGCCGAAACGAAATAAGCCAGGCCAGGAGACGAAATATCCGAAACAGTTCATGCAAGAAGCAGTTCCAAAGAAGGAAGTAAAGTTCCTCGCGCATGCACATCCGAACACGGATCCGCGGACTAGACTGCATGCACTGAACACAATGTCTGCCGTGCACGTGCACAGCACGCGGCTACCACGCGTTGGTAGATCTAATACCGAGCACCTTACGTAGAGCTAGAGACTTACGTAGCTTTTAAAAGTGAAATACCGAGCACCTTACGTAGAAACTTACGTAGCATAGCGATGTCGTTTTTTCTGCCATGTGAACACAATAATAGAAAAGCTGACAGGATCGCTTTTCTAAATGTCACACTTGATGTATCGTGTGTAAGAAATATCGGAAATAAGAATAGAAAGTCCTTTTCCAAACACCCACGCTATAACCGATACCTACTGTATTCGTATCACCTACATGTAGCCGAGACGTGGTCAAATGCCATTTGACACTTGCACACAGTTGCAGCACTCGGAGAACTGGTGCATTTACCTACAATGTCCTTGCCAATGCGTTTTTCCAGGGCTGTGAGTGGCATTCCCGGATGTAGACAGTTACTTTACTCAATGTTTATACATATAAATAGTACACCTACTTTTATGGCCTAAAAAAAACACTTGCTGCAGGTAAGGATGACATGAATTTTGGTACCTTTAGAGACCGACGACCAGGCCAGATTTTTGGTGAGGGCACAACAGAAGACCAAACCTCAACTTCACAGCAACAGTTGACACAATCAAAGTCATTGTGGCCCTGGAAAGGACAGAATAATAATTATTTACAACCAGGTTGCAGATCACCAGCTTGCCTACAGCTCAGTACGAGTACAAGCTGCTATCTGCTGCTAGCATGGCATGCTATGGTCCCTATGCCTATGCCTATGCCTATGCCCAAGAGTACGGGGGGTTATGTACTCTTGCTATGCCTTTGGCATATGGACATGGTCGAGCTTGCTAAATACATGGGAGAAAAGCATTTTTCCTCATTTTTTGAAAAAACATGCAAGCAGCTATGTAGCTGCGGCCCGAGTGGTTTGGGAAGATGTGGTGATGCGATGACAATTTCGCTTTGAAAACTGGGGAGTCTCCTTCATCAGCATTTTGCCTCTCCAGCCATCGTCATGACCTCCCTGCAGGACGTATCGTTCATCCTGGAATCATTTTCTCAGTGGCTGGTGAGGATCGTTTTGGCGCAGCCTTCAGCGGCTTTCGTGCTTAGTTTTCGTGTACACGTACTAGAACATGTACTTGAATGACTGATTCTGTTTCCAACCATTTGATTTCTAGCCTCTTCCTCAGATTCCATGGTACCATTGGATAGTAGAGATCGGCCTGGCTGTATGGATCATCAAATTGCTCTTCTTTTCCAAAAGCTACAATCCTGGGAAAAAGGCTGTCGACCGGCTTACAACTCAGGCAAGTGGCTGCTAGCTGTCTTTTTATCTGTGAATTATGCGTACCGTCTTTCAGCCTGGCTACATACGAAAACTGAAGGGCGCAGGCAATACAGTGTATTATGAGAGAAAACTTGAAAAGACCGGCGCGGAATAATATCTAATTATTTTTCCTAGTTACTGTGAGCAGTCATGGATTACAGGCAGTTGCTATGCAAACATATCACGACAGTAGTGACAAGATCTGAGAGCCAGGTGCGATCACGCAAAGTGACAAACCTTTGAGACCAATATCGGAAGGCAATTAACGGATACCGGTACATGCACAATCGATAGCAGACCAGCCATCAGTGGTGGTGGCGGCAGTGTCGGGACGGCTTCATACCAGTAGAAAGCGGGCAGAATATATATATATAGAGAGAGAGAGAGTGAGAGAGAGAGAAAGAGAGAGAGAGAGAGTGTGTGTGTGTGTGTGTGTGTATGTGTGTGTGTGTGTGTGTGTGTGTGTGTGTGTGTGTGTGTGTGTGTGTGTGTGCGCGTGTGTGTGATGAAAACCCAAAGGCCCTAACATACAAGCCACGGCAGTGCACACCACACATGTGTTAGGCCTTTCTCAAGTAAAAGTTGACCTGTGTGTTCTGATTTGGCATTTTGTAAAGCATTTTCTGGCGTGTGCACATGTTGCTGAACGAAAATGCAACAAGCTGAGCGGAAGCAAACACCGCTACATGCAATAATTTGATGTATTGATCTGAATACGCAAGTGCGTGAGTTTAATCCCTTCGAGTGCATCTTATCATGAAACATGCTAGTACAGCTTGAGTTGTAGAAAAGAAAAGGACCAAGGAACTACAAGTTACGCTGTAATGTCCACTGACACCACCAGTTACTTGACAATCATTACATTATGGCGTAACTTGAAGTTCCTTGGTCCTTTTCTTTTCTATAAATTTATCCTTGGCTCTCCGTCCGAGCTCGAGTTGTGTGACTTTTTGATCCGAGTACGCAGCTGCGCACGCTCACATTCACGCCGAGTGCATGACATACAGTTGGTGGATGTAGGTGGTCTGGATCAGACCACCAGTGATTGGGAGGGCTGGAAGAGGCGCAGCTCCACACATATGTACCAGGCGTGGCTGGCCTATGCTTGCCAAGCGTTCATTGCTATGAGAAAGCTAAGACCATTTCGATGAGCAGGTGACAAAGCAGGGCTGGGAGAGTCGAGTTCTAGCTGTGCAAACAGCAGGGTCACCAGCATTGGGTTTTAGCATCAAACCCAAGGTCTGAAGGATGAAAAACACGATAGCTTTGTTTTATTTTTGGTAGCTTTTCTCATCAATCCTAAACACGTTAGGTGATGCGGCCGTGAATGCGGCTTTTTTTCTTCTTTTTTTCTCATCAATCTAATTCAGGGGTGTAGCTGGTCCCCCTTTTAGGGGGGTTCACGGCCGCATATGTGTAGGATGGCTGGTGAATGTCATTCATGGTCATTATGTGCATGCTGAACCTAGGTCGAAATCTTGAGGGAAAGGGGGGCGGGGGGGGGGTACGTGCCCCATGCGGGCTACGTGCCTAAATCTCTTGCATCAGGTGTGGAGGAAAGCTTCCTTAGTCCCCCTTCCGGTAATATAATGTTACCGAGTGGTATGTTATTGGACTTTTTTTTCAATCTTGGTTTGCAATGTGCAGTTTCGAGATATGAAAACAACGTTGACTTAATAGTCTGATTACTCCTTACAACTTCATTGTGTGTTGATTCTCATTTGCAGGAGGAGGATGAGCTGATAGATGAGTGGAATCCAGAACCGCTGGTGCCGGATGCAGATGACAGCGATGATGAAGAGGTTGAATTCCGCAGCGTGACCAGGTTAGCAGTTGTGTTACATACTGCAGTGGCATTGGCGGATGGTGCAGAAATCTGCATCATATTGCTGAGAAAGAGAAGCAAACTACATAGGCAGTAGGAAGGCTCGTCGTGGCCGTTTTTATCCTAGAACATGTGTTTGAGGGAAGGGGGGTTATTCCATATCTCCCTGCCATGCTCATCCGTTGCAACTGTCGTGCTTATCTGAGTGCATGAACACTTTGGTGAACGTTACTGGTGTCTTGACTTTCATATATTTGCTGTTTGCAGCAAGCCAGGCGGGCATATCGTGGTGGATGGGCATGAGTGCATCAACTTGGCATCTCTCAACTTTCTGGGAATGCTGGAGCGACCACAAGTGACTGTAAGTGTCTATGAATGCCTCGGTTTTCACAAAGTTACAACACATGTGTGCAACGTTCAAGTAATAGGCGATGTGGAGAAAAGAGCTTTATTGCAGCAATCCATAGAATTTAGCAATGTCGACATTTATTAAACGTAGTAACGATAATAATATTAAAAACTCGGATGTCGAGCCAATAGTAATATGTAAAGAGAAAAAGGACCTATAAGTTGCTAGTTATGACCAACAGTCCACCAAGGTAACAAGATCATATACAGTCAGATAGTGGGACAATACGGCACACAATTGACAAGGATATTGAGACATTCGACGACCTGACACCTAGCTCCAACACATCGAGTTGTAGTTAGACCGGTTTGTCCTATGGTCTTACTACTTTTAGTCCCGTCATTATCATCCTGTAATGTTCAACATTCTTTGTTGCCAAGGGACATAACTCGTGCACATCTTCGTGGCGCATCCCTTCCCCTCATTGGACCTTTCCGCACCTGAGCCTTCTAAATTGGAAGGTTGTTGGTTTGCGTTTCGTAGATGTGTTGGAGCTAGGTATCAGGTCGTCGAATGTCTCATAACTAGTAACTTTATAGATAATAATTAACGCAATAAATAGAGTAAGCTGCGCACTCAGTACAAACACCATTAGAGAGGTTAAGATGCACGTTATTTCCGACGTGACGCGAAAGTTCAGCTCGCGTTATTTGGCTCGCGCGTCGAAAATCAACACGAGTGACTTGCAGGTCACGTCGAAATTCGGAGTTTTACGCCAAATTTGACGTGAAATTGCGAGTCACGTTGGAAATAACGTGCATCTTAATCTCTCTATTAGCAAATCTTGTTTTCATGTATAATTAATTGTTCCTTGAACGTTTTCGTGGCCATCTCTTCAGAAGGATTATTGTGTTTGTACTGAGTGCGCAGCTTACTCTCTTTATTGTCTTAATTACATTTCTATCTCCATGTAAGCTTTTTTATTATAATATTGTGACTCCCCTGTTCTTCTTTTTCTTCTCTCAATGTTCTCTCTTCTCTAGGAGAAAGCCATTTCTTCTCTAAGAAAGTATGGCGTTGGCTCTTGTGGGCCGCGTGGATTTTATGGCACCATTGGTAGGTTTTCTCTCGCCCCTTGCTCTGCTATGCTGTGCAGTTGTGCTGTTGTTAATCTTTGATTCTTAGAGCTGCACATGATGTGGCCTTTTAAATGTATTTAGCTTGATGCCTCTCTTTCTCTCTGTCATGCTCTTGGTGTTGATTGCGGCTATGTCTTTGTCAATTGTGCCTATTGGTTGCTGGCAGACGTGCATTTGGATCTCGAGAAGCGCCTATCGCAGTTCATGGGCACGGAAGAATCTATTCTCTACTCGTATGGCTTCACAACTATGTCAACTGCCCTGCCTGCCTACGCTAAGAAGGGAGATGTGATATTCTGGTAAGTGTTTGTTGAGATACAGAATCACTTGGACCTACCTGTCTCTGTGGCTCAATGCACAGGTAGTTGTTGAGTTTCACATATATTTACTACAGTGTAGTATCTTCAAGAGTAGAGTTTTGAGTATCCATGATGTAAGTGTTGAATACCATTCCCGCTCGGCAGAATAGTGGTTAGCTACCGTGGAGCAGTATGGACATGTTATGTAAAACGCTTGTGTGGAATGTATCAGTGCACACACATTAATTACAGCCAAAGTTCTGAGAGTCTGATTTGTCCTTACTTGTTTGTGCGTGATCTGTAGTGATGAAGGGTCGTACATGATTTGTCCTTACTTGTTTGTGCGTGGTCTGTAGTGATGAAGGATCGTACATGATTTGTCCTTACTTGTTTGTGCATGGTCTGTAGTAATGAAGGGTCGTACATGATTTGTCCTTACTTATTTGTGCATGGTCTGTAGTGATGAAGTGTCGTACATGATTTGTCCTTAATTGTTTGTGCATGGTCTGTAGTGATGAAGTGTCGTACATGTTTTGTCCTGACTTGTGTGTGCATGGTCTGTAGTGATGAAGGGTCGTACATGTTTTGTCCTGACTTGTGTGTGCATGGTCTGTAGTGATGAAGGGTCGTACATGCCCATCCAGAAGGGCCTGATTGCATCGCGGAGCAAAGTATACTTCTACAAGCACAACGACATGGAGGATTTGGAGCGGCAGCTGGAGGTGCAGGCTGAAATTGATGCCAAGAACCCGGCAAAGGCCAAGGTCACGCGCCGCTTCCTTGCCACTGAGGGTGTGTTCTTCAACTACGGCGACATATGTCCTCTTCCCAAGTTGGTCAGTTGTGCTAGTACTGTAACTTTGTGATGATTGGCTTTGGTGTTCACATGTTCGTGTTGGACATGTGGTAGGGCTCTCTGTAGGGTTTACAGTCTGAGAAAGCGAGCAAGTGAATCAGGGTTTGTGGGTTAGTGAGATTGATTACACTTGGATCTGGGCATACTTTGATTTTGCTGAGCTGGCTGACAAGAAGTTTAAAAACAAACAAACGTAAAGGCGACGTGGAGACAATAATCTTAAAAAATAGTGCAATGAATAAAACTATGCGCTCACTCATGTTATGAGTGCCTGTATAGTTTTATTCATGTGATATTATCTCAATGATAGCAAGGGATAAATTGCTTCAGAAGGTTTTCTCGTCACAATTATCAATGGAAACTCGTGACTGAAGATAATATCAAAATAGCAATACTATTTATACATTTTGGAGTGACAAAAACAAGGATACGAGTTAGAAAGTATCACATAATTGATAAGAGTGTACTGTAAGACATGTATATATAACGAGGAAGCAAATCTAACGTTTTACGGATGACATTTCTTCGTTATAATAAGATCCGTTGAGGCCGTACAGGTTCATATATGTTGTGTGTGGATATGCCGAAATACTGCAAGATCGTTAATATATCTTCTCGTTAACCTATGAATATTGCACAATCGTTAAATTTGCAACTCGTTATAATAACATGTCTTACAGTAATACACTGGTAAGTGATCAATAGTATTAAATACACAGGTGAGAATATGAAAACGTTCTGGAACACGTTATCTGTTGCTATGATTGTGATATGAGTGCGCATGTAGTTTTATTCCTTGCATTATTAAAATGTAAAAGTAAGAGGGTTTACAGGCCTCCTGTTTCAATGAGCTTGGCATAGTGAGCAGAAGTAGACAGTCGTAAACATAATGACCACGGTCCTGCGATATCACTTTTACCTATCTACTTCGAAGCAAAACAGAAAGGCTTCAGGGTGTGTAATAGAGTGCTTGATGCCCAAGGGTAGAGCTACTTACAACACGAAGAGGAGGAGGATTCTGGTGTCTGATGCTTGCCTACTTGTGCGTGAAGCTCAGAGTCACAACGCACTCTTCTTCCTCTTCTTGTTGTACAGTCAACTTTGCGTATAACGACACTCGGCGGGGCATCAGAAAAGTGTCCTTATTTGCGAAGTGTTGTTATACCCGAAGTCTCATTATGTATTACAGTTAGATGGGACTTTGCTCTGGGCATGGAAAGGTAAAACTGGAGTTTAGGTACTTGTGTATCTACTGAAAAAGGATGAGCTACTTCTGGACAGCCCGGCATCGGCTGGCCTGTCAAACTGCACGGATAAGCCCTGTGACCATTGATTTGACTGTCTCGGCCAGCACTCTATAATAAATTATGGTACGGTATCTGTGCACCGTATGTGCCGGATACGGTGTGGATATGGAGATTACATGTTAGCCATCTGGCTGGTTTTAACGGTCATTGTTTTCGCCAGGTTTTGCAGGTTTTTCGGTTAGATAGATTTCGGTAGATCTTCCAGGTTTCGTGATATTTTCGAAACTTTACTTCAAAATTGATGGATTTTTTTCTGTAAAAATTCCCGATATTTTGCTTAGAGAATTACCGGCAAACTTTGCCTACAAGTCATGATTCAGGCTGTTTTCCCTAGGAAAGGTAGCGAGTATTTTGAAGTACACTGTAAACTAAGTACTTGGGCTATTTTGAAGTATTTTCTCTTCTTCTTTCGATTACAATGATTCTTGCTTTTAGTTGCACTAAGTTTTAGATTGCTCAGGAGAACAAGCGAAGAAAAGACTTTGTGACTTGGTTTTACCATTCTTCATCAATCTCAAAGTAACCCCAAATCTATTAAAAGCAAAGATCATGCTCTTCCCGCGACTGCCGGAATTCCCAACTAACTTCCCGCGGCCAATCGCCGGTTATTTTACAAAAAGGATGTCCATCCATTCCCGTGGGAACTCATGCACCAGCACACCCAAAACAGAACACCTCTTCTACAAAATTTATTTTAACATTTTGGGAAAGCGGAACTGAAAATAGATGTGGTCACTGGTCAAGCGGATGGCACAGGGTATGATTGTCGAATGCAATGCACCATGCATTCGAAGTACCGATCCTGGTGCTCCTTGAACCGCTCACGCCACATAAATTCCACCAAGTATGTGGGAAATAAGGTGTCAGATGTTCCGAACATGCGTTTCAGCTGCCGCTTTGCTCTCATCCACATATTCTCCACGTTGTTGGTATGGACATCGCGGTCATTGGGGTTCACGAAGTTAGCTTCATGAATCACAACATCATGTTGAAAGATGCCCCCATGTATCGTCGAGAGATTGGCATATGCAGCCCATCCATCCGACATGATGCGTGTCCCGGGGAGGAGCCACTGAGCTATTAGGGCAGTCAGTGTTGCTGCCGTGCGATCAGGAACAACTTGCATGATGCAAGTTCCGGTGTCCCTTTCGATTGCACCAAAGACCCAGTGGCCATCTCTCCATTGACCGCGATGGTACTTCCGGTGAAAGTATTTTGACTCATCAATTTCCACCACCCGAGGCTTGCCTTCATCATCGAAGCCTCCGAGATGGTATGGGTTATTGGTGAGGTACTCACCTGCCACGTCTCGAAGAAAATTATACCAATCAAGGAGTGGCTTCTCCGTCACCTTGTAACACCTTGTAATTTCCTTCTGCGGCTCTTGCTTGGCCCAGAAGACGATGATCTTCATCAATAAATCAAGAGGCAAATGGCTCCGTTGGAAGAATGAGCCAACACGAACGCTCTTGACGTAGCTGTCACGTTGGCATCGCCAACGATATCCATCAATGCCTCCGTTATACACTGAAAAGGTACAGCGTTGATTGCACGTTGGACACACATGAACGTTAGCAATCAAGCCATAACGTGCCACTAGCTCGATTCCACGCCCCTGACAGAACTCGATGATGATGGTGTCAAGGAATACTATCCCCTCGAGCATACCGTTGTAATCCAATACTTCCTCAGGTGGAATAATAAATTTACGGGGAGCGGCCATTTTCAATACTGAAGGGAACGTTGAAGTGTTTCAGTTTTGCGGTTAATCAAGAGAAACGAATGAGAAACAATTGAAACTGCTCAGAGTCAACGCAAGTTGCACAGGCTGTTGGGGCCGACAATCGTTCTTATAAGGAGCTGAAGAACCCCTCGGAATCATGGAATCTCCATATCCGTTACGTACATGTACATGATTGTATACAGTCATGTACAAGGTGTTAGATACATATCTAAACCTTGTTCTAGTTTACACATGTTGAATTATTGTTGTATTGTTATTGTTGTTGCTTTGTTTGTTTCACTCTGTTAAACCAACAACATGACTGTACATGTACACGGTATGGATATGGAGATTCCATGAGACAGGCCAGAGAGTCGTAAAATACCGGGTATTTTACGACTCCCTTAGTCAGGCCGCAGGGTTTTCCTCATACGGTGCATAGTAGGCCTCGCCCAAATATGCTAAAAAAAGAGCATATTATGCTCGTCGCATATCAGGGAAAACGTCCATAATATGCCAAAGGCTTAGCAAGATATGCAAAAAGATATGCCAAAATATGCCAAAATATGCTCGACATAAGCAGAAAGTGTAGATCATTTCAGTAAAATTACAACCTTGGAATATTCATTGGCTTCACGGCTATCATGCTTATGGTGCAAATCAAAACACATGCGGAATAGTATGGCTGGGGTGTGTCCCCAGCAACCGTAATGATAGTGTTCATCCATGGGGGAATGTAGCAAACGCCTCAACCATTCCAAATTCATTCATAAAAGGCATTTCTGAACGCATTTTGTCCATAATATGAATGACTTTTCCTCATTTTCTTCAGAATATTTGAATTATATGCTGGCTTCATTCCAATATTCCCTTTGTCGCTCAATATGCCATATATGAACTGTGTCACAAAATATGCGGAAATATGCGCAAGCATATTTGGTCGAGGACTTGTGCATAGCCATACGTCATGTATTCTAGCAATTCAAAAATATCCAGCAAATTTATTTTGGAGGAAAATCTCTGTGCATGTAACCATGCATCGGGTGACCACTTGACCACTTCCGGCGAATATATATTATATAAATTGTTATACACACTAGTCAGAACAACAGATGGCTTGATCAGTCACTGGCATGACACTTTAAGTTGTGACTGACCACCCATCTGTTGTTCTGACTAGTGTGTCACGGCTCTACCTTCCCGGTATCGAGCTCTCTTGGATTTCCGCTGGAATTCACAACAGTATAATTTTTTATATATATAAATATTTATTACAACATCTCAAGACTCGGTGGAAACACCGGCCAATGTTAAGAGTGGGTGATTGCCAACCAAGGCGATAAATAAAAATAAGGGGAGGGAAAAAGAAAGAGTAGCAAAATGAACAGCAACAACAACTCCGTAAAGAAAGATAATGTCAAATAAAAACAGTGAAAAACACAGAGACGCAAAGGACATGTGGATAATGAGCGAACACGACTTTATAAACATGAAATTCACATTCAAATTCAAATTTGGAAATAAATCCGAAAAAAAACATATAAAATGCCAAAATTCAGAGTAAACCAGGCGAAAATAACGGCCGTTAAATCCAGCCAGATGGCTCCGGCGTACATGTATGGAATCTCCATATCCACACCGTATCCGGCACATACGGTGCACAGATACCGTAGCACATAGAGTGCTGGCCGAGACAGTCAAATCAATGGTCACAGGGCTTATCCGTGCAGTTTGACAGGCCAGCCGATGCCCGGCTGTCCAGAAGTAGCTCATCCTTTTTCAGTAGATACACAAGTACCCAAACTCCAGTTTTACCCATGGAAATTCTGTCGTTGTTCGCGAATTGTCGTTATACCCGCAGTCGTTATTAGCGAAGTTGACTGTATCTACTTTGAAGTAGGTGGCCGAGTGTGTAGTATTTAAAAAAATTAGAGAAAGTCTTCAACGTGCAGAAAAAGGTTGTTCGTGCTGTGCTTGGCCTCTGTACGATCTGTGCTTTCTTCTTTCAATGCATGTACTTGAAGTACTAGTTTTCTGTGTCTGTGCCTGACTGTGCAGGTTCAGCTGAAGAAAAAGTATAAGTTTAGAATATTCCTCGACGAGAGCATCTCGATCGGCACACTGGGAACGACTGGCCGCGGTGTTACTGAATACTGGGATGTGCCGGTGAGTAGCGCAACTCTGCATTGATCTTCTTATCCCTCTCGTTCTCGCGCCTACTGTACTGTAGTTGCTGGCTCTTTCAGTGGCTGCTTCACATACTGTAAAACATGCAATTTTCGGTGTAACTTTAATTTCGGTGATTTCGGTAGAGAAACCAGGCACCTACATTTAAACTACGCCTAAAAGGCACTAGAGTATGCACTGTATGTGAAGGGAATGCTGGTCACCTAATTCTAAATTACACCTAAAACCTGGCAGGTCCCTGGCACCGAAATTTTAATGCACCTAAAATTACATGTTTTACAGTAGTTATAGTTTGCTATTTGTTGCTGGTGGTAGCAGATAATCATTGTGTTTGGTCCTGATATCCTCTCTGCTTTACTCTCTCTCTAGGTATCTGATGTGGACTGCATCTGTGGCACTCTGGAATATGGATTTGCGTCCGTCGGTGGTTTTGCTACCGGCACACATTTCGTCGTCAATCATCAGGTACGTATAATGTAGAGACTGCTGCGCACTGTGCTCTGTTCAGCACTGTCCAGTCCAATACAATGTACAATGATCAATGCTCGGAATTGAGAGGTGCTGTCTGATCATGGGTGTGTACTTCAGAGTACAGCCGTATTGTCTCTATTGTGTGCGCGGGACATCTTGTTACACATGAAACTTACTCTTGGTACTTATCACATATCTGTCCATTATTGTGTGACACAGTGTCCGTACTTCAAGTATTATACACAGTTGCAATTCCCATAATTAGCTTGTGCATGTGCGAGCGCGATTGGATCATTTCACCCGATCTGTGATTGCTGTTGTTTGCGTGTTCTCGTCGCCTGCAGCGCCTTTCAGCGCAAGGTTACTGCTTTTCAGCATCTCTGCCACCCATGCTTGCTGCCGCTGCAATGGAGGGTCTGGATATCTTGGATCAAAACCCAAGTGAGTCCATGCACAGGGATCGGTTTGTCAACCAGAACACAATGGGAGACTTCTGGCATTGGGCTTCAAGTAGCTCCCGTTATGGTCATGCTTCCATGTGCACCTGTATAGTCCGGTACAGTGACTGCCTTTGCATCTATCTATCTCTCAATGGTATACGGTAAAACGGGTAACTATTGCGACGTAAAACTGTTTGCGAAGTTTGCGAGAGGCCCCAGAACCGCAAACTTTGAATAACGCAAACTCGCGCCATGTAAAGTTCAGTGCAAGGACTGACTCGACTCATATGTATTCAATCGCAAACATTAAACAGCGCAAACCAGTCTCAATTTGTAAAACGCAAACATTTATTGTCGCAAACGTTGCCCGTTTTACAGTAATACTACTTTTGTTGTTCCCTTTTCTATCTTTCTTTCTTTCAGAATTATTAGAAGACCTGTCGAGTAAGATTGCTCAACTGCACGACGCTTTGAAGGGGTAAGCGCGTTCATCTACTAATATCACCCTCCTTGCTTATCTGCTTATGGAGGGCTGATGGCCTATCTGTACTGGAAGAGCTGCACTAAGAGCTTTGCAGTAGTGATCGGATCTCGTTTCAATCAGTATTTGGCCAGTCTGAATGCAGTTGAGCATCTGCACTTACATAGATCCTTAGCTTTAATAATGTGTTCAATTTAGGGTACTAGTAGACCCAGGTGCTCGAAGTCCGTACATGGTATCCTAAGTTCGTACGCCCATAATTTCATGTTCTGTTATTGTATTCGACTCAAATATTTTATGGAGGGGACAGTGTGGTATGTTCTCCTCGCGTACCAATTTTCAGGGATCTACGATAAGCAGAAGTCCTATACCACGCGAGTGGGTTTTCGAGTGTCCATACGAAATACAAATTGGGTTACATTTCATGCAAAAATCAACTTTGCCAAGACCGATTTCGAACGGACACAGCGTCAAACAGACCTTCACTCAATCATCAAGAGCCAGCTTAGAGCTGACAATGGCCAGAGGAGAAGAATTTACAGAGAACTACCAATCCTTGCAGAAAGGTTGACACTCCTGGCATCTCCACCACTGTTTTCCCGCGGTTTTCACAGCGCAGCTGCTTCTTCTCTGAGCCGACTAAAAACAGCTTGCATTTCGGCAACAAACTACGCTTTTGCAAGAAATACTGGTGGAGGCACATGCCAAACATATCCCTTCGGTGCTTTCGTCGTAACCGAGGGATTGCAAGTTAGCAATTAGCAGAAATATGTGTGTATTTCGAGTCACCTCTGATCAGTACGGACTTAGAGTACCCTCTGCGACACCAACATTTGATATGAAAAATCAGCGAACTCCAGAGAAACAGATCGGATCGAAAGATGGCCTGGTTCAATCGAGCCTGGCCTCAGAACAAACTTGGACAAGATACCTTCCATCCACGAGCAGGATTCTGGCAAGTGATCATTGCTAGTGTGAGTTTCAGCTCAGCAAACACACACTGTAAAAGTGTACGGACTTCGAGCACCTGGGTCTACTCTCTACGGAAATCTCTTTGTGCATGAACATGCTACAGTGTAGCATCATGGGTTTGCTTAAATCATGACACACACTGTGACAAGGAACTCACTTCCACGTTTGCCGTGACTACTTCATGACTACATATTGACAGTCATGGCGCTGTCTCATGTGAAGTCATGAGCTGTGACCGGATGAGCTCCCATCTTTGACTAGTGACTGATACCCCTTGTGTGTATTGTGCTGTCTTCTGTGAACACTGTCACTGTTCAGTTTGAACGGCATGACTGTGTGTGGGAGCCGGCTCTGCCCGGTGGTACATTTGAGGCTGAAAGAGTCGACTGGGTCGCGGAAAGACGACGTCAGACTACTCCAAACTTTCTCTGACCAGGTGAGTCCAAGGGCTTGTTCACACTTTAGCAGGTAAATTATCCCTTGGTGGAATTGTCGAGTTCTGCGACAGTGCAACAATCTCTCCTCCTCTTCTCCGCCATGCGCTCTCAGCCGACACATTGGTGTGTGTAATGGCTACTGCTGAGAGTGCATGGAGGAGAAGAGGAGGAGAGATTGTTGCATTATTGAACAGTCGAATGGTACCGTTCACAACTTCATTGATATTCTGCAATAGTAGTAAGAGAATCTGCAGTTCATTTATCCAAAACAACTGGCACCCTAACTTGTTGGCGTCTCGCACGTGTAGTCCTAATTCAGCCATTAAAACGAGCTTTCGAAAGCCAGCGGGACATTTCTGTCTGATTGGACTGTAGGTGATGTTGCTAAACCATGCTGGTCAGAAAGGCGAGTGGTGTGTTTTGTTTTTTATCATTTTTCTCTTTTTAGTTTTTACGTGCATGTCGATTTTAGAGTCAGCCTATGAATACCGCCGTTGCTATGCTCCTTGTATGCTGTTGGTCCCGCACTGCATAGAGTCATGTGGTGTACATATCATGGTGATAGAGTCGTGTTACTATTACTAAGCCCGCTGTTGCGTCCTGTAGGTGTCCATGGGGCTTGTACTGACCTGCATGTGTGTGTGTGTCTGTCTGTGTGTCTGTCTGTGTGTCTGTCTGTGCATGTGTCTGTGTGTGGTGTGTATTGTTTTGTTGCATAGGCCATGAAGAAAGGTGTTGCCATTGTCCAGGCAAAGTACTTGGATCATGAAGAAGCATTCTTACCACCACCCAGGTATGGAGCAGTTGTAATGATACATTCTCTGTGTAGCTATACAAGTTCTGGGAGTACGAATCACGGTCATATTTCATTTACTAACAGGTCAATTTATCTTGCTCTTTTTTGTTGCTCCCCTTTCCTTGATATTGTTTTAATGTCATCTGTTTGGTTGTGTGTGTGTTCAAACTCTGTGCATTTGTATTTGATTCAGTATCCGACTGAGCGTGAATATCGCCCTGTCGATGGAAGAGCTGAAGCAGGCTGCCTCTGTTATTCACTCCGTCGCCCGTGACATCATGAAAGGCAGATAGCGTGCGTCTCTTCGTACTAGTACTAGTGCCCTGTATTTAAAGTCAGTGTGTTTGCCGTCGAATAATCACTGCTCTAGTTTCTCAGACGTGTACATAATTTTCTAGGGGACGTTTTTTTCTTCTTTTTTTCTAGTACCAACTTGCTCCAAAGGTTTCTATGTTCCGTAGCATACCAGTAGCAGTACCTGTAGTTGATTGTATGGCGACTAATAGCGAAGTCTGCTATTACGCGTGTTTTATCAGATACGAGTCACCACATGCCCTAGGAATGGCGGCAATCATGTAGTTTGCCGTATGCTATGCGCTGCTTAATCGCTGTTTTAGACGTGCTCTTTTTTTAATTAATAGCTTCTTGATGCCTCTCATATATTACCGTTAGGTGTGTCTATTTTTAGTCGCTTACCATATTAGTGCAATGAGACAGCACCGATCCGTCTTTGAAAAAATACGAATATTTTTAGTAGTTTTATCGCGCTCACATTCACTAGTGCTGTCCACTGTAGTACACTGTAGTCCAAGCTGTTCGAAACCAATGTACATGATGGAACATAGCAATGTGTGAAGCAGTCAGCCCAACTGCCATCGCTACTGTTCAGAATTTTATCTTCTTGGTTTGGCAGGAGAAACGTGTATATTTATAGTGCTAATCAATGAAATCCGATCCAACGAGTGAATGCCATGCACGCTGGGCGCTGTGCAGCCCTAGACCTGCAAACACTGGGATGGTGAACTGGTGCCTGGTGCAAACTTGATTTACACGATCGAATTTCATTGAGCACCACCGCATATCTGTTGTGCACTGCATTCTCCGACCCTCCCAGCCTGGAAGGTCGAGGTTATAATTACCAGTATGCGATTACGTCATCGTTCGAGGTGTTTTGTACAATCGCGAAACTTTGGCATCATGTACTGGTTTGCCACTCTGTAGAAGTCAATGCATGTGGGTCAGGCATTGCCATAACAACCCTGTCCAACGCAAACCTCACGATGGCGACCCAAATGCCTCGTCCTAAACAGCATCGCCTCCATGCAAACGTCAAGGAAAGAGTTTCCCTCGCCACCCATATTATTACGATTATGGCCATAGTTATCTGGTAAAATAAGCCTATCCAGGGAGTCATACAGACCTGGGTTTGTACGACACCACTATGCGCTGAGAACCAGGTCGGACGGAATCGGGGTGTCGTACAAACCCAGGTCTGTATGACTCCCTGGATAGGCTTATTTGTAGGGCTCAAACGATTAGTCCGATTAACCGGTTGCAGACCGGTTACGAATTAACGGTTAACCGATAAAGATAACGGTTACGCAGTAACTTTTCAGTCAATTTTTCAAGTATCAGGTCGTTGCAAAGTGTGCACTTTCGCGGGCTGTCGCACGCGTACGCAATTTCTGGGCTGTCAACTCGGTCATATCTGGTCTCTTGGTGTGAGAGTATGATGAGCATGCAAGAGAATGTACAAGTGTGCGTTGTACTGGGTACATTTTCAATGAGTATAGTAAAATATACGGTTAAAAAAGAGTCCACAGGATTGCCGTGGCTTATAGGTTATAACCGATTAACCGACCGTTAGCTTAGCAGTTAACCGTCAGGGGTAAAACCGTGACCGTTTGAGCCCTACTTATTTGCCCATGCTGGGGGGGGGGGGGGGGCTTGTTTGTGCACTACACGCTCTACAGACTTCAGAGTTCAACACACATGGAACAGGATCAATAACAATGATTGTGATTACCAGGGAGAAAGCCAGCTTCAATATCAACGAGGGATTTCATCTCCCACTACCTAAGTCCTTACTACCTTAGCCGTTCAAGCGGCAAGTTATTAAAATTTAGAATTTTCTGGGAAATGTGCTAGTCTATACCGACGGTAGCGTGAGCTACTGACTCTGTACCAGTATTTCACTTTTCAGGAAGTGGTTGTGTCGAAACAACGCTACTTACCTCTACACCACAGTCAGCATGGTCAGTGACTGCATGCAGGTGAGCGAGGACCTGTCCTTACTTGACTGACTGACTGTAGACTACACGTAAAGTAAGTTACCGTCATGTCATCAGGGTCGAGAGGGACAGAGTCACCATGGTCACTCCTTGTCCGTAAATCATGGCATTGGTGGTAATCCATCACGGCAATGAATGGTCGAGCTCTGCCGCTGACGGACGTGCCTCTGCAGCTAGCTAGCTGACACCGGCTACGGTAGCATTGTGGTCTGACAGTGGTGACATCGAGATAACAAGTAGATCCGAGCTGCTAGAAGTAGACGACGAGATGGTAACGATAGTTAGCTCAGTCTGCCTTGAAGTCAGTTAGCTCAGATTCACTCGTCCGAACGACGCACCACTAGAGCGACGGTCGCAAGTGCATCTGTGTAGATGAGGTCGAGGCTGGCCGTTAGCGTTCCTTCGAATGGACTGATCGTCGAACAGGAAGAAGTGTTTTGCTCGCTGATATCATGGCGTCCAATCGCCAGAAAGATTTCAAGAGGCTCTCCAGCTCAGTGGGTCAGATGCGGAAGAGACGCGAGAGTGATGCTTCTCAGCTTCAGAAGAGCAGACGAGGCGAAGAGGTGAGTGAAGGACTCAGGAGACTAAAATAATCTGCGGGAACACGTGCCGCGCTGTGTTCGCTGCTGCGCAAGTTTTCATTCATTGGCCGCCATGTTTCGGACCTGTGAGGCTGTGTTCATCTACGATGCTGAACTCACAGACCATGGCGCATCGACTCGAGTACTCGTAGATCTACCCGCTCGCCCGAAACCGTGCCCCCTCCCCATGGGTAGGTGCGGCACGAGTACACAGCCTGTTGCCAGTGTTGGGTAGGGTCCTGTCCTGGAAAGACAACCGCCTGTGGATCCTCCTTGCTGCACCCCCCCCCCCTCCCCCCTTTCCCGGCAAAACGTTGTGCCCCCATGCCATCCCTGCTTCCTGCTTGGGGAGGGGAGGGGAAGGGGGGGGGGGGGAGCAGTGTTTATCCCATCGCACATTCTGTGCGACCCTGGAGTCTTGGCGTAAGTTTCAGCGGCATATTGAGCAAGAGAGACAGAGAGCTCGAATAAAGGGCCTGGGTAGCTACGGCAAATATGGGCGCGCAGACAGCTACCCAAGCCAACAGAACAAATGCGCCATGCGGGTACGCGGGAAGCTCAGTATGTGTATGCGGTGCAGGCCAGCAGGGGAAAACTGGGACGTGCAAGGAAACAATGTACGGGAGATGGGGACCTAACCACCGGCATCTCATCCTTCTCGGGTTGAAATAGTCCCGGCTGATGCAAGTCAGATTAGCCCTGTGCAAGCAGGTCATGAACGACCTAGGAAATAACTTGCGATGGATATTGGATTTGAGCCATTGCCAGGTGGCAATATTTCATAAAGAAGGATCCATGGGCGATATTTGAACTGAGCACTCCCGTTTTGGCCGCAAGTCCGGAACAGTGTCTTACCAAGTAGGATGCCAACGGACACACACACACACACACACACACACACACACACACACACACACACATACACACACGCATGCATGCACGTACACACACACACATGCACAGGCCTCTAACAGAGGAATATGCATGGCCAGTACACTACCTTTATAATGTAGCGGTGCCACGCCGGTTCCGCCGCTCCTGGTCGTACACTGATGGCATATCTTGTGAGCAGTGATTACTCTACACAGGCTAATCAAAATCACTTCTGAACTGAACAGGCAAGTATTTGTTAGTACTATTACTCAATCTCTGGACAGCTGTAAGCTACTTGTGTTTAAAAACTACAGCCGGTCAGGCCTAGCTCCTCAGCCTGTTTGGGCAATGCTTTGTTGTTCATTCAGCATCTAAAGCGAAGAAACCTGCTAGCAGTGTCCACCGAGAAAGATACGGAGCAGCAACACGAGGCAATGGATGTGGTAAGCATAATTTATAAACCAGTTATGTTGACTGTTGTGCATCCCTGCCGCATGCAGTGTAGCACGTAAATTTGGACGCACATACATGTACCTTATTCCCACTTTCTTCTTCGTTTTCCCCTTTAGTCGGAGTGTCGTCATGGGGGGGGGGGGTCCCCTTTAGTCGGATAGTCGTCATGGGGGGGGGGGGTCCCCTTTAGTCGGAGTGTCGTCATGGCTGCCTATCGCCCATATCATATCTTCATTGGCTAGTCGGCCGCATAGCTGTAAATACATGAATAGATACAGTATTACTACTGTGGCAGTCCTTCATTGCATCCGTGTATGTGTATGCGCGCGCGCGCGCGTGTGTGTGTCTATGTGTGTGTGTGTGTGTGTGTGTGTGTGTGTGTGTGTGTGTGTGTGTTTGCGTTCTAATCCACAGGAAGTCCTACCATGCCTGCAAGATTGCGACACGCTAGTGGAGAAGCTGATGCACGGTGACTTTGATACTCAGCTACAAGCAGCGCAGCACTGCCGCCGGCTTGTCTCAACAAGTATGTATCCTTGCAGTGTTCGAAGTGAATTAGCAGTGTAGTGTGTATGCTTTTTGTATGTGTGGGTGTGCATGCGTGGGCGGTTCCTGGTTGAGTCAACAGTGATCTGATTCTTATACTGAGTTGCTTAGTGTAATCCTGGTGTCTGTTCCACAATTTACCGATGTTTGCAGAGAATGATGAGGCAATCGACAGGCTAGTCCAACTCCAAGTTTGCCCATTGTGCGTGGCACGGCTGAGAGAACCTCCAGCAACAAGTACAGACTTCATGGTAAGCGGGTCGCCATGGCGTCGTCACGGCAAGATTGCCATACTTGACTCAAGCTGCCCATGATTTCATTTTCATTATTGTCATACCTGCTAATATCTTACCAGTATATGTTTGCCGCCATAGTCAGTAAGGCATGCATGTCAGATGGATAGGTATTGGGTACCTAGTCTGGCAGCATACTGCATCGCGCAGTCACCATTACAATCATGAACTGTATAGACTCGATCTGGTTGCCATGACCGTAGTGCAATTGTTGATCTGTTGACTCCCTGCTCATCTGTCCAGCTTGAGCTGGTTTGGATTCTGACCAACATTGCATCCGGCAGCTCTGACTGCACAGCTGCTGTTGTCAATGCTGGTGCTGTACCCGTACTCATGAGCGTTCTAAGCATCCGCTCAGTGGACAACAGCGAAGCCATGCTTGTTGAGCAGGTCAGTAGCAGGATGTTGCACTTTGTCAAAGTTGATGTTGGCACATTCCCATGATACTGAAGTAGCTTTTTGAAGGAAGGGTTTCATCAGCTATGACCTGGGTATTGATCAGGTTAGGTATGTGAAGGCCACACGTTTCAGTCCGGCTTCTCATCACACATGACCTATGCGACCGAAACTGCCATGGGAAGTGTCACGTGCATGCGCAATGTTATTGAAGACGATAAAATCCTGAAGTACACTTGTGTGATTGTCTTCCTTTCAGAGCCTCTGGGCATTGGGCAACATTGCTGGGGACAACAGCAACAAGCTAGCCTACAGGGATATGCTGCTCGATGCTGGTGTTGTGAGTGCGGTGACCAGGTAGGTTAGTAGGCCGCCGTGTGTACTGTAGACTCACTAGACTGCAGTATCACTAGACTGCAGTATCACTAGACTGCAGATGTGTTTTGTATTTGTATTGTATTGTTTATTTACGGATTCTCCAGAGGTAACTGGATACCCATCATGGGAGTCTCTCCAAACCAATAGAATAATGAAAAGTAGAAGCAGATAAAACTCAAAAATCTGAGAATTTAAATCAAAGGAGAGGAAGAAAATCAATAGATTGAGAATCTAACCATCAGACTGAGTACCTGGTGGAGTTTAGCCCGTGAATGATCTGAGGATGTGATGCAGGACTTCAGTGCCCTTTTCTGCTGATGTGAATGCCCTGGCAGCTCATACCAATATTTAAGAGTACAACGCCAGAGTGCATTATTTATATGGGTTCAGGAAAGCACAATTCGTCATCTACGTCATTATCATTGTCAAGGTGCGGTGACACTGTGACAAATTGTACTTAGCCTCGTTGAAGATGGGAAAGTACCTAACCCCTTTTTAAAACTTGTTTGCTTTGTTTTTTGTTTGTTTTTGTTTTGACTTTTCCAGTGCAATGTTGACCTATAGCGGGAGAGTGTCAGTGATCCGTAATGCAGCGTGGCTCCTGTCAAACCTATGCAGGGCGTGCATGTTCCTGCTGGAGTTGATGCCTGTGAGTACTAGCGATGTCTAAGCAGGCTCCGTCTGTAACCGACTAAATAAGTATGTTACTGATAAACTGGCATGGGGTTGAATCACGCGACAAACTGTGCCACAATGCGTAGATTCATTCTTGGCACTTTAACATTTGAGCTGGCAGTGTGAGCCGATGGCCCTTGCATTAGTTTAGTTGATCGGAATACACGGCATTGACGGGCCAGCCCCAGTGATGAACTCAATTCTTTTTGTTATGGTCAAATGAATAACCTTTGTCTGGTACTAGTACACAGTTTGCTTTCAAGGTTATCCGAGATATAACTCTTTACGTCTATGCACATTGTGTTGCCACTTGTTCATTTCCGCGTAGATTAGGCCGCTCATACCTGTCTTGCTGGAGTGCATGCTATGCGATGATGACGAGGTGGTCAGCAAGGCCAACCATGCCATTGGCTACCTAGCTACGACCAAATCCGCACCAATAAGAGAAGAGCTGCTGCAAAGCGGAGTGGCCGGTCCACTGATAAACTGTCTTTCGTAAGCCACACAGCGTATAGTTCAACTTCAACTGTGCACTGTCTAACTGCTGTATGGTGTGCGCATGTGTGGTACAGTACTGGGTGCGTGCAGTACTGCATGGAGTCGGAAACATGACGGGTGTACCTGTGAATGTTCAGATACGAGTACTGTACACATATACACATTTACCTGGTGTGATGATTTTCATTGCTTTCAAGTAGAGTGTTGACCACTGCTATCAGCAATAACAGCAGTCACGGTGCTCTCCAGAATACTCCTAAGTATGTGTACAGCTTGATAAGCTTGATGATCACCGTCCGTCAGTAGGTGTGCTCCGGGCCATGACTGGGAATAACTGTACTTGTGATGATGTTTGCGCTCTGCTTTGCGTACTGAAAGGCATGGAAAAGTCGGAGTTGTCTCCCAAGCACTGCGATCGCTTGGCAGTCTACTGTGCTGCGACAATGATCAGTCCCAGGTAAGCTTTGCATGCGGCACCCGTCAATGTACTAGTTAGTGCCACAGTATTGTAGTGCCACGGCATAGTGTAGATCTACACTCAGTGCGGCTGAAGTTGCTACAAGTGTACACGTTGGTCTGACAGGACGAGTCCGAAACACCCAGACCATTGACTTAGAATCAGAGCATGAGTATACAGTAACAGCTTTTTCTTCCGGTTCTGGGCAGCCAGTATAGCAATAGCTGATCAGATGTCAGCTATTCTTTCAGTGTTCTCACCTTAGGCCACCCTTTCTTTTTTCGTTGTTTAACGTCCGCGCCCGCGTACCTTTTTGCCTCAGACTGAAAAAAAAACAAGAAAGTAGTAGTACCAATAATATGCGAAGTTGTAAATACATGATTGTGTAGTTTCACAGTGTGCCGATCATGACCTTAAACTTATAATCTTGCCTCCCGGGCATGCCTTTGTCTTGTGTTCTTTTTCTTTTTTTGTTGGCTTTTAAATATCGTACGGTGTGTGTCCTAGTAAAAATCCAGATGTACTCCATGCTATGTGCCTGTTTTGTTGGATTCATCAGGCATGTGCTCCAATGTACCATCAAAGAGTGTTGTTCTATGCCTGCAAGTGCCGTTAGACCCAGAAATATTGTATATATCACATGCTTTACTGGTCAAAATGTTTGATTGGGGTTTCCAGTTTTTGGAATGGGCTTTTGTTTTTTTTCCGCCCTCCCGCGTACCTTTTCGCGAAAAAAGGACGTTTAACAATGAATTAACAAAGGGTGGCCTTACTTTGAGATATTGACTACAGTCCATTCATCGGAAACTGTCCCGTTGGCTTTTGAAAGTCGGATTTGGGCCGAATTGAGGATCAAAAACCCACTTTAAATCTCAAAAATCTGGGTTTTGGATCTGCTTCTCCATACATTTTGCCATGGCATACCTGTCCTAATTTTGTAAAACCTGGCTGAATTTCTATTTCCCTGTTCTTGGACTTTTCTGGCCTCAAATGTGGCAAGGAGTAATTGCACGGGTCACACAATGCAGGATGTACTGTTGTTTTCACGATATCTACAACTATGTGAGAGAGACACCAAAAAGTTAGGGTGCCAGTTTCCAATAAATGTACTGTAATTGTAAACACAACTAAAACTTTCTCCCAGGTTGAGATCAATGTACAGTGCTGGCAACTGAAATCCGACCCCCTGAGCAGTGCGCTCACATCGCAAAGACCCAACACGGGATGGTAAAACTACTGTGACGAAACAGAGACCGCTAGGATGTGGACGCACCGCTAAGGGGTCGGAGTTCAGTTGCCAGCACTGTAGTTCAATAGATCACTGGGTGGACCATGGGCTTGATTTCTATCAAAACAGGAAACCATTTGCACAAGAAAAATACAGAACTGCTTTTGAATGTTTGTTATGCTGCCTGACGATTGATTGATTCAAGAAACTCTGAGTAGCAACGGATATGTTTTTTTGGTGAGGACCCAACCACTTCCATTGTGTGAACTTCTTTTGAATATTTTCTTTGCTGCGTATTCTCAAACCAATACAAGGTGATAATCGATGCCGGCATATTGCCAGGTCTGCGTCCTCTTCTGTCCTGCGACTATCATGCAATCTGCAAGGATGCTGTGCGGGCAGTATCCAACATTGTGGCCGGCACCAGCCAGCAGATACAGGTCGGTGGAAATGTGGGTTGCTACATGTACCTACTTCCATGGCCTAATGCAGAGGCAATGCGATGAGTAGTTGCAATAGGAAGTATGGCTGCTTAGTTTGGATCTCCTCAAAGTTGGCATTGAAAATATGGAAGCCCTCAGTTTCTAATCGAGTGAGTACAGTAGGAGTGTACATGACTTTCTTTGCGCTTGCATTCCAACTGGTGAGACAGCACTGAAAGTACATATATTTCGAAAAATTGCTTGTGAGGATCTTGAAAATTTGGTCTTTTCCCTAGTTGCATGTGTGTCTCCGAGAAACCTATTTGCCATGTTTTGCTTGTTTTGCACACTACGTCTAGTGCGCTGTCGATGCGAAAGTATTCCCCAAGGTGGTGCGGCTCCTTCGTCACACTCGCAGAGAAGTTGTCACCGAAGCCCTGTGGTCAGTCGACAACGTGCTAGTTGGTGGCACGCAGGAGCAAGCCAAGTACGTACATAATATCTTGATTCAGTGCATATATATCAGGGCGCGAAATAACGGTCGGACATCGGACAATTTCCGACCGTTTACGGTCAGTTTCCGGATGTTTTGTACACATCCGGACAAAGTGTCCCCGCACTTTTTTTGCAAAGTACAAAAAAGAAGAGGCACGTCAATCCTTTGTCTCATAGTCATTAGTGATGTCGTCTGGCAAGAGAAAGCCAAGCACCGCTGATGCGGGTGCTCCTCTTGGAAAGAAGCCCAGAGGAGTCAAGACGAACACTTGTGACAAGTGGGTCACCGAGTATGATAGGGAGCGCTCGAGCTTTCAACTTCTGTTTGGCTGAATGAGCGCAGTCCCTCAGATCGTAGCGCTGTCGAAAATTTGAAGTGTAAGATGTGTTCCCGTTTTGTTGATAAAATTCGCAGCAGCAAGAATTTTTCTGACTCCTTCGTCGTTGGCTCAAGGAACCTGAAAACATCAGCCTTCAAAGATCATGCTGCTTCTGAAATGCATCGTCGTGATAACATTTCGATGGTATTAATTCTACACTGAACATTGTGTGATTTGATGTGAAAATTTGCATGTCCGGACATGTCCGGCCATTTTAATCCTTAGCGCATGCCCTGTATATAGTATCCTTCGATCCTTGTATAGTGCCAGAGTAGACTTGGTCTCTTACAAATATAATTTTAAAGGGGAAGTATACCCTAAAATCAAATTTCACCAGTTGTAGTCTTCGGGGTGCTGAGTCGAATGGTCTTGGTCCGAGGAAGCTGAGACGCTCCCTTCCTCCTTTATTCCCAATCGAACTCGCGCATTTCCACCAACACTGGGTGACTGCGCCCTACTAGATAGGGATTTGTATGGAAAAGTCACTAAAAACGCCGTTTCGTTCTTATAAAAGTGCGGATGACCGCGATTGGTCCATATGTTGTAGTCTTTTGGCCGCTGAGTCGACTGGTTTTGGTCCGAAAAGGCTGCGATGCAGCATTCGGCCCTTATACCCAATCGAACACGGTTGAGTAAGCGGTCGATCACGTGCTCATTTACAGCCTGTTTGGGCCCGCTTATGTCACTCGAGTTGAACCTTTGAACCAGGGAGTCGTAAAAGCCTCTTACGACTCCCTGCTTTGAACCTTTGAGTTGAATCTTGATGTGAAAATTGTACTCTGCAGGCACGGTGACCAGGCGACTGGTGTACGCATGAGCACGTGACCACTCACTCAACCGTGTTCGATTGGGAATAAGGGCCGAACGCTGCATCGCAGCCTTTTCGGACCAAAACCAGTCGCGGTCATCCGTGCTTTTATAAGAACGAAACGGCGTTTTTAGTGACTTTTTCCATACAAATCCCTATCTAGTAGGGCGCAGTCACCCAGTTTCGGTGGAAGTGCGCGGGTTCGATTGGGAATAAAGGAGGAAGGAAGCGTCTCAGCGTCCTCGGACCAAGACCATTCGACCCAGCACCCCGAAGACAACTGGTGAAAATTTGATTTTAGGGTATACTTCCCCTTTAAGGGCCGCCGCAAAGGTTGTACGTCGTCACTGAAACAATCGTCCTATTTTACTCCCCACTCTAGCTCCCCCCCCCCCCCTCTCTCTCTCTTTCTCCCCAATGGATGCCCAAAATACGTACTGCTTTGCTTGCGAATATTTCTGGATTTGCCGTTTGTTTTTGAAGAACTGCTCTGCCATGTGCTTACAGCTATGTGGCAGACCTTGATTGCCACTCGGGACTTGCTACCATTCTGAAGTTTCCGGACTCAGATCTAGTGTGTCTAGCTTTGAACGTCCTGGGGAACCTTCTCAAACTGGACAAACGTCGGAAAGAGGCAGGAAAGGTGGCAGCCGCTTTCGAAGAATGCAATGGTGAGATTTAAGATGTGCATTTTACACATTGTTGCTATCCACGTATACAAGTGCAGTGTGATGCAATCTGTGAGTTAGATCGCTAGAAGAACTTATCAAGATGTCATGCAACTGGTCCCTGCTAGTGGTGTGTGTGTGTGTGTGTGTGTGTGTGTGTGTGTGTGTGTGTGTGTGTGTGTGTGTGTGTGACTGCAATGCGGACAAGTAGTGTACACAGCTCCTAATCTATCCCTGTTCATACCATGATCAGTCTTGGTGCTCTCGGTGTCTCAAGTGACTGTTTTTGCCCTTCTATCAATGTTGTTATCAATGGTGTGTACTGTGCAGGAGTGGAGAACCTGTGGAAACTCGTCAACAGCGAGAACGATAAGATTTCAGAAATGGCTGATGGTCTTCTTACCAAGTACTTCACAGACACATAGGGACATGCAACATCACTCTCTCTGTGTCTCTGTCTCTCTGTCGGTCTGTCTGTCTGTCTGTCTCTCACACTGTACACGAATTGCAAGTGAAGGAGAGAAACGTGGAAATGCAAACTACAAGCCATCAAATTCACCAGAACTGAAGCGATTGATTATACTTCAAGTAATAGTCTTGATTTGTAGGAAACTTGGGCACTGCCGATGTGGGAGGTACTATTTTCGTATATTTTTGACCCCCTCCCCTACCCCAACTTTGTTACTGCAGACATATTCTGATTTCATACCAAATTAACTAACCGCCCATCTAACAGATGAATTTCAAGTGGTTATATACTTTCAGCTTTATGACCGGAACTTCTGCACAGCAGGCCATGAAATACCAGTTCTCACTAGCCCAGTACTCGTTGCAAGTACAGTATGTGTATAAACAAAATTGAATTTGGAAATTTTATTTTTGGAAGATACGTTGAAGTATATTACTTAGCACCATGCAAGTCTTTTGATTGCACTTCGAAATAGTCCTTTTCCCATTCGGAGTGACTAATACCTAGCCACAGTGTGGCAATGAGAAAAAAACAATTACAATGTACAACCCCGCGTAACACCTGTAACAAGTATTGTTTTTTCTTCTCCTCACAGACTGGGTGTTGAGGGAAAAACCCATACGTTGGGTACGAGCAGTTGCGCACATTTCAAATTTTCAGGAGCACACCACCGATCCGCACTGACTCAATGTTGGAACGCAATCGAATAGAGACCAGTCAGTATGTTGCTGCATGGGAGGTCTTTTGCGCGCAGCTTGGAAAAGAAACACAATAGTGGAGCCAAATTGGTATCGAACTGGTAGCACAGATAAAAAAAATCAACATTGCCATTACGCAACACTAAAAACTATGCTATGTACAAACTAAAGGAGTTTAGCAATGACCCTACCTAAGATGGGATGATGAGGCTCTTCAAAGCTAAGGAGTAGTTTTATATCAGCTGTAAACAAAGAGAGGAGGGTATGACGAATCACTGGAAATTTGAGCTTTCAGTCCACTCTACAGAGTCATGCCAGCTCGTATTCAAATTCTTCTGAAGATATGTTGATGCTGTGATTTACTTCACACAACCTACAGCCTTACAGACTCAGTGTGCAACAGAGATAGCTCAGCTGTAGCCAAGTTTCTCCACCATTCCATTCCCCTGCACTCCGTGGTAGAGGAAGAAGTTGTTCAGGGGTGCATCCTTGCCAGATACAGCCTGAAAGACACAGGCGGACAGAGCGTGGCAAGCAAGGTTATTGTACAACAAACATAATCGTGTATCGCCAATGCAGAGTGTGACATGTGGGTATAAATAAACATGCGTTGGTATCTGCCCATAATCGACAACACTCCTATACACAGCCACTGCCCCTATCTAACTGAAGGGATGTCCGAATGCTGACCCCCCCCCCCCCCCCCCATTCGTGGAATAATGGGCGAACACCCACACTACGCAAGTCCTCTGGTGGTACAGATTTCTGCCTAGTTATTTGCTGAGTCCTACCTTGATGACTTCTTGACCGAGTACACCACCAACAATGGCGCACACTGGACTGAGCTCAGCGATACATTGTCTGTACAGTGCAAACACACAGACAAACCACACCTGCATCAGCATTGCGAAAGCACAAGCCAAGTGTATACACAAGAATGCGCCCAATCGTTCTCAAGTGCAATTGTAACGACTGCTGCAGTGCGAAAGCTGTGCAGACTTCACGATAAAATTGATTCCTATAGAAAGGTCTTACCCTGATGATTGAATGCAACCAGAAAAGCACCATTACGCGATCATTTCTAAAACATCAAGTAACACGTTAGTTTCTGACTGGATGCATAGCCTCTTTTCTCAGTGTGGATCAGTGCTGTCATTCAGCATGCTCAAACTCAAGTTTGGATGCCTGTAATCAACATTACGAATGCTGTAGTAGAGATAATAGAAAGTCTAGTGCAGGTCGCTTCTGGCGACAGATACTGACATACAGTACAGAGATATAAAGGTCAAGTTGTCTCCTTGGAATAGTGTGCAATAGCTGCAAAGACACACTTCTTTCCGTCAAGTGCCGGTTCACAGCGATTCCAACAACCAGTACAAAGCCGCGTTCATGTCCTCGAAATGCACTGTAGTAATGCTAGAACGGTTTCACAGCGCATTTACTTTTTTTTTGGAATTCTTACGAAAATTGATTGACAAAGCTTGATCCATTCAACACATTACAAGTGCAACGTCGAAGTCCCCTCTCATTCACGCCTGGAGCTATCCCGCGGTTCTTATCGTTACTGTGTCACATAAGCACAAGATGGCTAAGTGTCCGATGCCCTCAGAGTCGATACAGGGCAACAACTGATCATTGTAAAGAAGAGGACATAACGTGGAGGAAAAAAATCAAACACAACAATTACCTCAAGAGGTCATTCGGTACAACGGTGTCCGCCAGTTGAAGTTTCTTCAAGATGCTGTCGCGCAAAGAACAGATCTCTTTGAAGTCAGATTCATGGGAAGAAGTGGCTGGACTCCGTCCATGGTGATCAATGAAATTTTGAAGAACTACCAGCAGGGAGAGAGATAAAAATCATAAAAGACATTCCAAATTTATTTTCAAAACGAAGATCGGGGTATTCCCCGGAAGAACAAGGAAAAAAGAAAAAAAGAGAAAAAAATCAGGTTCTACCGAGATTTGAACTCGGATCGCAGGATTCAGAGTCCTGAGTGCTAACCATTACACCATAGAACCTTACACACCACTTTAGCGCTCAAAGCGTTTCAAGAACTGAAAGAGTTCATCGTGTGTCGGTCACAGGGCCGAGGCTAGGGTGGCTGTCAGATCAGAGACGTAACAGCCAGCACGAACTACATACATACATACAAGTACTATCAGAGACCAACGAGTACGAGGTCTCAGTGCAGTGGCTCTGTAGACTGTAGACTGTACAGTCTGTAGAGTGTAGCAGGCTCCAGCTAGCCTGTCCAGGTCCAGGACTAAGCAGGAGACATTACTCCATCACCGTAGGTCATGCTGCATAGAATTTTAATACAATACTTCTTTTGGACTATTTCTTTGAAGTCTAATGCTGCTAGGCAATTATCATTAATTTTTTTCACAACCTAGGCGCGAAGCGAATTGTGCAATATGAACCAAAGGCTAAAAGCTGTTCACCCCCCCCCCCCCCCACGCACACCTTGTGTTTGAAGGAAGCGCCCTGAACTGTTCTTAGATGACAAAGTCCTAGCACGTGTTCATCATTATTCTTTTACCAGTCTCGCTGTTCTTGGCAATGTGCTCTTCACAGCATGGGCCTACTACTGTGTGCAAGAAGAGAGTGTGCTGCGCCTGACACTGCGCCTGACAGCCGTGACAGCCACACAGAAGGTTAGAAGCTACACTACGTTTGTCTCCATGCCTCAGTACATTGACTTGAGTACACGGGCTACAAGTACACACAAGGCAAACACTTGCAGCTCCTGTCCCAAGCCTAAAGTCAGCCAGCACTCATTGATAGATCCAAAGCAGGACCTGCCGAGTGGGATAACAAGGTGAAAGCCGAGGCACACATAGTGACAATGAATCCCCCCCCCTGTCTATGTCTTACTTAGCATGACAAAGTAGATAGGGGACGTTCTTCGTATCGTGCGCGCTGATGCGCCACAGCTCCAATCAGGGTTGCTCGCCCTCGCCCAGGGCGCAAACTCCATGCACTGGAAACACACACACACACACACGCGCACGCACACACACACACACACACACACACACACACACACACAGAAAAAGCACAGGAGCTGCATCAGGTACAACTGGTACCAGGAAAGGACTTGGAGAAAAAGCACAATTCCAACCAAAGCTACATTGGTGCAAGCCGAACAGAACAAGCAAATACCTGTTTGACCATCTTAGTGGAATCGTCCCCGTTCGCTTCTTCACTCGGTTTGCTCTTCTTGGCACTGGGCTCAGTTGAGGAATTATCAGCGCCATCATCAATGGATACGTTCGCCAATTTGTTTTTGCTCTCCTCGCTGCCACGGCAAGCACATAATCCAGAATACAAACAACAAAAGAATTGAGAATAACAACGTTAGTCATTGCAAGTTCCATGAGACTGGCTATACAGGAGAAAAGTGAATGGACAGGAGAGAGCTGTGCAATAATATTCTTGTGATGATCAGTGAAAAGTTACTGAAAACCAAAAATATCTCGACCAAGTCTTCTAAGCAAAGAAGAAGGTTAAAATTGGACATTTTAACAGCTGTTGTCGGCAGGAAAAGGTCAATTATCGGCAGGTCCTGACATGCCTCCAAAATTGGCAGGCTACTGACATGCCGGCGGGTGTGGCAACACTGTGATGCATAATCATCTACACTCAGCTATCTGATTTCTAAACCTCTTGCATGCGGACATGCATCCCAACCAGGTCCACACCCACAACCAAAGAGTGAACCTAGGTGCATGTCGGCAGAATTGCAGTGAACACAAAACACTCATAATCCTCAACTCCTACCATGGAGAGTTGTAAATAGTTCTGTCTTGATCGAGTGAGTTGAATTGAAGGAAAGGATGTACTTCAAAGCATCTGTAGTACTCTCAGTTTCATAATTCTTTCTGTGCTTCTAAGATATGGCTAGTTCTGAGACAAGTTATGGGACCCACTTGGTTTGAAGGTGCACTATGCAAAATGGGGGACTAATAAATCACTCCAGGTTGAATGGACCTCACCCAATTTGTCACCTATTTATGCAGACTACAAGTGATTCACACACACATACACACACACACGCACACACACACACAAATACACACACACTCGCACACACACACACCGATGAACACCGAGCATGCTGGCATCACGTGAACAACAAGACCAGGCTGTCATGTGCAGGTTTTGAGTGCTTACATGACATAGCTGTACTCGCTGCCCAGGTCTGTGAAGAAATGTCCGTGGAATCCGTAGATACCGCCGCTGTAGAACTTGATGTTGTCCGCTCTGCAGATACGATTGACGCGTTCCTGTTAAGTCACACACCAGTAGAGAATACATTGGTATGTGCACACACGAGTGTGGAGAACATTGGCATGTATGGGGCACACATGAGTCAGTGCCGGTGTGTTGTTCTACAAGCAGCTCTGTTCGCTGACTCTCGCACATGCTCCCAAACTGACAAAACTATAACATTTTCAACAGAATAGCAGCCAGTATTATCGTCAAATAGTCAATGGCTCTTCAAGCAAGTAAAAAGCATATGGGCTCGACAACTACTAGACAGTAAAAACCAAATTTAACTGCCAGCTACAAATCTAACATAAGAGTACCCAGCAGGAGTGACATTACTCACTAGAAATGAGCTTTTCGCCGCAAGGCCAAGAACACAGACAACATCAAATTGCTTGAAGAACTCATCACCCAGCTGTTCCGGATCGGACGTCTCTGTTTGAATTTGCACATTGGGGTTAAGTATCTGTAAGCGAGGTGCTGCTGCTTCAGCGATCTGTCCCAGAACACAACAGAAAACAGGAATGAACACATTGAACAGGGTTTGGTTTAGGGATGTGACTCCGGGTAGGGGCATGTATTTGATTTGCATAGACAGCCAGCCGGACTGAATACGCATGGAACAGATCAAGAAAGAAACAAAGAAAATGGTAGAACACACAGTAATGCAATTTCAGGACTGGACATGACTCGAGTCCTGGTGGTCTGACTTGTTTGATTTTCTTCTTCCTTGTCTGGCTTGCAAGTGTTGACATTCAGAAAGAAAAGATAAGTAGGCAGATGGCCTGATTTGAAGAAGGCAGTGATTTCCAATAGAAACATGCCACCTTTTAAATAGGCTGCTTACAAAAGGAAAAGACCGCTCTTCAAAGTTGTAATTATTATTGTTTTATTTCCTAGGAGTGTTGCCATTGACAGTACCCTGCCATAGTGTTCATGTGTGAATGATCCTCAGTAAGTCCGCGCTATGCCACCAGGTACTACTGGTTCACAAAACTGGCACCCTGAATAAATGACAATCCATTGAATCCAACATTATTAATTACAGCTGACTCCACCACACCAGCCACCACACTCATTCCCGTGGGGAAGTGGACTTAGCCAATGCCATGCTAACAGCCAGGCCACCTCGCTGTATTGATACTCAACTCTAAACTATCAGTCATCCCTAGTCAGCTTACAGCACAGAGAGACATAGAAGCAGTGTTTGAGCAGGCGAGGTTCTGCAGGACGCGGGTGTTACTTTAACTTACTTACTACTGTTTTAGACACTCAAAATGAACAGGCGTGGTAAAACGTACCAGAATTGGAATATTAGCCTCATTAACTCATGCAACAAAACCCACATGCTGAGACAGGACATTTTTTACTTCTACGCTTCCTTCCATTTGACTCACTTCACTGCTCAGGCGTGACAGGGATGGGGTTCCCCAGACAAAAAGAAGCATGGAAATAGAAGATATGCAAAGAATGCCGCTACAAAAATACTTTAAAGTAGCGTGAAGGTATGTTGTTAAGTGGGTCGTCATCAAGAATTCAGAAGATTTCATGGGAGTGCCACCGAGTTCTTAATGTGCAAAGGAGTCGAGAAAAGAGAACCCCAACAAAGTCACACATGTCTGCAGTGACCAGCATGTGGATTCTGTTCTGCCAGATAATGATGAGTGGGCACGACGCATTTATACATTTGCTGGTCATCTACAACAGAAACCTTTTAAACCGTATCTGCACAAGTGACGCCAGGAATGGCCTCCACTTCCATTTGAATTAGTTCTAAATAGTATCAATATTATAAAATCTGGCGCAGAACAAAGCTCTATTGCTACTGGCTAGCAGTACACACAGTCACACACACACACACACACATGCACAGATCTCTGTTCAGGACCAAGAACTGTATTCTTCAGAGTATGGCATTGCTACGTGAGCAGTATTGGTCTTTTTAGAGCATTGTTCACGGCAATCATCCCTAACAACTTGAAAACATATTCTCCTCTCCATGCCTATTTCAAGCTCGCACACAAAGGTGATCAAATAATGGTGAGAAGGTGGTGTGTTTCTTCTACAAATTACAGGAATGGCCGGACGAGAATGGTGATATGCCACCATGGGCAGTTTGAGCCTCATCTCGTGCCACATGAGTGCATAGCTGACAAAATGAGGCTGGTGCCAGAAGCCACCAGAAGCTGGCCCAGCCCATAAGGGCATACACCTTCCAACACCATGGGTCCGGTCTGTGGGAGTGGTGCCTGTGTGGAAAACGAGGTGTCCGCTTTTCCACCACCACCCTGCCAGCTACCAGCAAGCTACAGCCATAGCCTGGTAGATCACAAGTTCACAACCCACACCGACCATGACATACGATGTATAGATAAGCAGCAGTTGAGTACATCACTGATATCACTGTCACTGACTGTCAGACACCAGCAGTAGAGATGACAGGAGTGTAGGCCAGCCCCTAACCACACTCCACAGCTCAGTATTTTAAAGGCAAGCAGTGCTGCACGTGCCAGTGATAGGCAGCATGAAGGACTTTTAGTTTTACTTAGAAGTGCAGCCCAAAACTTGCTGCCATTGATGCAGCAGGTCATGCAGCAAGTCTGTTGGTCGTGGCATGTCAGCAGCCAGCACTTGGCAAGTGCCATCAGCCAAACTAGACAGGAGCCAGTCCAGCAATGCCCAGTATTATTGACAGGCCATTGATGGGGATGTTCGGCCTGGACTGCTCTGGGCACACACAACCTTCCAAGAATGACTGACGATGGAAGATGGACAAGACCCAAACAGTAACTGACATGCCCACAGAAGGTGTATGTGTGTATTCGACTAGACAGCACCACATCTGCTGCCCACTGGCATGCACAGATTTGATGCGGGACATGTCAAATATACATGTACATGCACATCACATGCATAATCATGCTTGCATGCTGCTGCACTCCTTGTAAACTCCGTGTTGGCTGAACCGCCTACTGATCGCTCTTGACTTGTCATCACTACAGTCATAATCGCTACAGCTTCTATACTTTTAAAATATTTCATAGCCATTGAATTTCACACCCACAGTCTCAGACAGATGGGCGCTTCTGTTTACATTGTACATCAATGCGTTTGTCACTACTATGCCTATGCCGAGGCTATGGATTGCGGCTGTTGGAAGTGCTGCCACGTGTACCAGTACCCACTACAAGTGGACAGGGCAGTATTGTTGCACTAATGACTATGTAGACTGCTGCACATGAATGATCGTACAGCAGTCCACATAGTCATTAGTGCAAGTCCACTGGTCAAATGAATTCTAGTCTCATGAATAAAGCAGCACCAGATGCGTGCCTTGTTTCATACCTTTCCCAAAGTAACAGTTAGTTGTGCAGAATAAGGTGCGTGTACCACAGAATATGTAAATTCCAGCTCAGTATCCAAGTACAATTCATAGTAATAAGTTAGACCGAAAGTAAAAGGCTGGCTGCACATTCATTGACAGTGGGGCTTGCATTTATATGCTGTTGGACACCCATTGCCAATCAGGGGCGTCGGAAGGTATTTTAGTGTGCTACGGTCAGCCATCTAAAGTACAATTTACTCGTGGGGGAGTGGTGGCGGAGTGGAAAATTTTGGAAATTTAGATCCCAGATCAGTGTATTTTAGATCCCAGATCAGTGTATTTTAGATCCCAGCTCCCAGTGTATTTTATTTAAATAAAAAGTACCTGGGGCAAAAAGTGGTAGGGTCAATACCATAGTGACTGTACGGTGTGGGACGCCCCTGCCAATTGGGCATACACTATGGGTCACTCATAGATTACAATGAAAGTACTTCAAGTACTAGTATAGTTATGCTGAATGAAATCTGACTTCATGGCAAGCAACTTTAGTTTGAGCCCTGCACAACTGTACAGGTCAGCGGTGCAGGGCTACGTGACTGCCCCATGAGGCTGGATTTCATTGAGCAATGTCAACAGTCATTGATTGCTCCAAGAGTACATAAGGGGTGGGGTTTTGTACTCTTGATTGCACTTGGACACAACTCAGTTACTAGTATAATTATACTGTAAGCCACATGATCATTTCAACACTCATACACAATGTAAAATACTAAGAAAGCTGAATTTATGACGGTCCACAATGAGCAGGATGACCATGACAGTCTGTCTGGCTATGAGTATGACCCCCAACCCTTGGTTTTCCTGGGAACAAGCCAAGGACTAGATGACTCTTTTAAGTTAAAATTCGTCTCAGTGGAACAAACACAGAGGCACTGCACTGCAGATCCAGTGGATATGTAGACAGAGATTGTAGTGCAGAAGTAGATCTACATACCATGACATACAGCACATGATTGTAAATTTGTAATACCAAATTTGGCACGCGACTGAGTTAGGTAATAGTAACTGGTTTCTTTCCCTATCATTGATATCAAGGCCCATAAAATTAAATTATTTTCGCCAAATCTGGTGTAGTTCATGAGTGTACCGCGTATAATATGTGTACCCGGTAGATGGATCGGATCCCGCGGAGGGAATGATGACATTCACCATGACTGTGTATGATGTACTGCACCAGTGGAGTGTGCAAGGACTAGGTGTTCCCGTCAAGAAAGAGAAGCAGCAAAACGACCGGTACAATGGGTGTACACACGACAAGAGATGTCCAACAATGGCATGGGATGTGACACCCCGGCATTGCATAGGCCGCTTCGACCTTCCTACTGACTCAAAAAAGCCCTGAGCCATTGACACGCTACGTACCTCTGTCCTCAGCGCACACACATACCTCGGGACCTTTCTTGCAAAGAACGCAGGTACTAAAAGCAAGATACTATTGTGTGGCGAGCGGTACATCTAGTAGCTGGAAGTGTACGGTCGGTACCTAGTGTATGCGACCGGCTCGAGCTGATGTCGAGTGATGAAGGTAAACTACTGCAGCTAAGAAAATCCTCTCGCACTATGGCCGGGGAGTACGGCAGTCTCACTCTCGCTCTTACTGTCTTACTTAGTGCATAAAGATTAGTGTTGAGACCGACGCGTAGCCAGCCGCAACCCTCGAATGTAGAATCTACCATGTCCAACTACAAGGGTTTGTACAACACACAGATAACAACAGCTAAGTGCTGTGGCATGTGGCGTTCTCAAGTCTCATCACCATCGATCAACTCACGGCGTAAAAAATGCACAAGCAGCGGCAGATGGGTGTTTTTCCAGTGCATGCATGCTAGCTATCGAGACGATACAATCATGTACACGGTCATGCAGTACTACTAGTAGGTCTACTACTCAAATTTTATAGAATTATTTTCACGATTTGCGCACAACTACATTGTAGTTCCAGTCTGGAGTACAGGTTTTTCGCCTCATAAGTCATATCAGTCATCATGGTCATATCGCCTTCATGAAGCAACGAGTCCGATTTTCACTACAGTAGTACAGTCTGTAGACTGTAGCCGGCCCTACGCGGTGCGTTGGATATGGAAGGCGTGTGACTGCGATAAGTCAAGAGCATCATTTCGAAGACAGGGCTACAGCCAGATAGCTCTACTCGGTGATAAATGAGTTGCAGTCAGCCTAGGAATAACTACCTGGTACAGAGGCGATCGTCGGAATCGCTCTCGGGCGAAATTGCTCCGTCGGCGAGCAGCAAGTGGTAGCATAAGCAGCAACATCACCAACTGGTCAGCAGCAAAACTCTGGAAAATCTTCTGAACAATGCTGTCTTGAGACGCATGTAACTGTTAGTTTTGCTGCATGCATAGCGCGAGAACGGCCACTACTGCACTACTCCGGATGAACTCTTGTGCGCACAGGACCGAATCTCTCCGCCGACTCACCCTACTGGCACTAGCGACACTGCCGACAGGCTACAGAACCTGAGAAGCTAGACGACACGTAGATCTATGCCGTCGCTCAGCTGGATGCATAGGATTTTTCTATGGGAAGAGCGTGGTCGGTACTGAGCGTGATCAGAGTCGGCCGCAGGACTCACGGTCCAATCGCGTTTTCGAATCCCTTGTCCTGACTCAGTGACTGGTCTCCTCATCGTGGTGGTCCATGAGATGATCTCCCAGCACTAGTAATACACGCGAGCGGCTGATGGCAGCGTCCAGCGACCCAAGTCTGGTCGTCATTCACAATGGCGATCGTAGAGTTTTTAGCGTGCCATCCCAGAAACAACTAGCGCAGCTCGCAGCGAACGGGAAAACAACAGCCGCTGGCAGCGCTGCATTCCTCCGCTCCATTATCGAGTCTTTCAACGTGAGCGCTAATCATTACCAGCTGCAACACTATCGCTCCAAAGCTCGCTTGCAGAGCGATGAGCAGCTCCGACGGGTTGCCGCTGGAGCACATGACAGTGGAGGCGAAACTCTGGTGTGTAATTTAGTCAGGAAGAGCGGAATGTCCGAAGGCGCTGATCGTAGTGGCTCGGTGGAGGACAGGCTTATGGAGAGGACCGGTAGAGGCGACGGCCCGCGTCGCATACACATACGACGGCAAGAGCGTGGAGGATTTGGCTTCACCTTGCGCTATTTCGTCGTCCATCCGCCAGCGAATATGCAGGGCGAGCGCTCAGACGCCATGGACACGATATTCGTGAAACAGCTGGTCTCTGGAGGACCTGGCGAGCTGGCTGGACTGCAAGTTGGCGATCGTTTGGAACGCGTGAATGGAGTGAGTGTGGCGGAGAAAACCTACCAGGACGTGATAGATATGATCAAGAGTAGTGGCAGTGAGTTGACACTGCTTGTGACCCCCAGCGAGGACGATCACATTCAGACGGCGTTCAAGACGGACGCGTACGGCAAGGACGGCGAGAACACGGTGCATTCGTCGCGCACGCTCGCGCAGACGCAGGACTTCAACAGCGGTACGTCGCTGGCCGACTACGCCAGTCCACTTGGCGCCGAGCAGCCATTCCTGCGCTCCGCCATCCGCAACAACAAGATCTCACCGTCACTCAACCAGCACAGACGTGTACGCGGCCCAGGGAGCGGGTCGTCGAGCAGTCTCACGCAGGCGCAAGACTTGCTGCAAAACTTGCAGCAGCAGCGGCACGGTGACTCTCGGTCTGGCTCACGGACGTCACTCGACGAATCTCAGCCAAGTCCCGCATCTCGGAAAAACGCCTCGACCAGCTCTATGCCCGGCTATGAGCCGAGCGCAACCAGACGATCGTCGGAGAGCTTGGATGACGGTCGACGTCCTCACAACGGTGGCATGGGTCACAAGAAGAACAAGATAGAGAATGGCTACTCTCCCAGTACGGGACACCATCATGCCTATCGGCAGAACAGCGCAGAGCACACGGACACAGTCGACTCCAGTGCCTACTTACCAGGTAGCAGCAGTAGCATGTACTCGGGCGGTAACCAAGCAGTCACCTCTCGTAGTGAAGGCAAGTTGCATGAACGCGACAGATCCTCTCAGCAGACAGGCACAGTACGGTCAGCGGACATACCGGCCTTCCTAAAAGGCCCTCGGCAAGCACAGGCCAGAGAACTGAGACCAAGCTCCGACGAGAAATCTAGATCTATGGAGAATCTCGGCCAGGCAGATGACGCCTGGCAGAAGTCCTCGTCTCTGCCACAAACTGCTGCTGTTGCTACTCGCGTGTCCAGTGATAGGTCAGCAACTGGTGTTGAAGAGCGGCGACACCCAGTTGCGCAGTCGCGCAGTATGGGCGACTTCCACCTGGGCGCAGCTCGACGGTTAGGCAGTGGCGGAGACGCATCCTCTCCGTCACCTCCCATCCACTACAGTGCATCACAGGAGGAAGAGGACTGGCGCCGCAAGCTGGACATCAGCGCGGATAATCCCGTCACCACCATTACGGCCACCTACGCCGTGAAGGCGAGGCAGCAACGGCGTGGCGGCGGCGGAGAGAATCGCGTCCAGGTGGGCCCGACCGCTACCAATCCGCCGTGGGTGCGCAGCAGGACAACATTGTCAGGGCTAGGAGCGCCGTCGTCCGGTACACCACCATCGCAACACCAACGCTCACTGAGTTCTACTCAAGCGCCGCTGGATGTTGACCGGCATCTGTTGCAATCGGCACAGGCCGCCAAGGCAAACTCATTGCCGCGCAGTTCAACACCACCAACTACCAAGCAAGGCTGGACAAAATCGGAGGAGGGTAAAGCGAAGACATCCATGCTGTCTAAGTCGATGCCACACAAGCTTGGTATGCCACTCGATGAGTCTGAAGACGATGATGATGAGGACGAGGAAGAAATTGAGCTAGAGGATGGCATCGCATCACCACGCAGCCGACTATCGCTCAGTGCTCCATCTTCTCCCGTCAACACCAGAAAGCGCAAACTGAGACCAAAGAGTGATGTAGACGATGATGGCGATGAAGGAAAGGACCAGCGCAATGATCGCCGCAGCTCCTGGTTCCGCCTCAACCGCAGTCGCAGTAAGAGCCGTGAGAGAAGCAGGCGCGAAGACCCAACTGATCTAAAGTGCACAGCAGCGGCATACCTCAGCAAGAAGCAAGTGCTCCTGCCTGGGGGCAAGAAGTCACATGACCGCTCCTGGCGAACAGTCTACACAATTCTGCACGGGGCTAACATAACATTCTACAAAGAAGAGATGGGTGTGTCGGCAACCCAAGGATCCATCGACATTGCTGACCAGAGCATTGACATCCGTGGTTGTATGGTCGATATCGCGCATGATTATCGCAAGCGCCAGAACGTGTTTCGGATACGAACGGTGGACAAGGCGGAGTACCTGCTGCAGGCGAAGGACTTTGAGACTTCGGTGAAATGGATTAAACACATTAGAAGCGCTGGCCCGTCGCCTGGCAGTGAAGTGGTTGATGGCAGCGAGTTGTCCAATCAGCCGCTGATCTTGAAGCAGATTGCACTCCGCACCAGCAGCACCGACAGGCCAGATTCCGGTGACGACGAAGGACCCATCAAACTAACGCTCGCCCAAAGACTGGCACCATCGCCGGGCACCCGGCGGAGGGCCAAGAAAGAAGAGCTGGGCAAAATCCGATTCTTGTTCAAGCGAAAGAACTCTCTGGCAAGTGACGACAGGACGTTCGGTGTGCCACTTGGCTTCTGTCCTCGTTCCAGCCGACTTCGCTACATACCGCTCATCATTGAAAAGTGTCTCCAAGCGGTCGAGGCAAGGGGAATGGATGTTGTTGGCATCTATCGTGTGCCAGGAACCAAAGCAGCTGTGGACAACCTTGTCAAGGATATGGATCTGCGACTGAGCGAAATGGATCTCAACGACGGCAACAAGTTGGACATCAGCGTCATCAGCAGCACGGTAAAGCAGTACTTCAGACAGTTGCCAGATTCGTTGCTGACGTTTGAGGGCTACCACAGTATGGTGCGTGCATGCCGTATCACTGACCCAGAAGAGCGACTCAACCAGTTGCAGCAGCTCGTTGGAAATCTTCCTGCCGTCAACTTCAATACGCTGCACTACCTGATACGCCACCTGCGGCGGATATCGGCAAATTCCGGCGAGAACAAGATGGAAATAAAAAACCTGGCAATCGTCTTTGGACCGACACTGGTGCGTGCAGCCAACGATGACACACACCTCATGGTCACTGATATGGGCGAGCAATGTAGGATTGTAGAGGCATTGTTGTCTAATGTGGATGTGTTCTTTCCCCCTGATGGAGAGTTTGACCATCACCCAACACTAGCAGGTAGTCCTCCACCAGAGATCATACTGGACGATTCATCGCCGCAGTCCATGGAGCCTGAAGCAGACCGAGCAACATCAGCATCTCCCCCATCGGTGGAGTCTAAGCCGTCGACTGGCGGCAAAGAGGAGACCAATCGCGCTACTTCGCCGTCTGTTCCGCACGCACCATTCTTTGTAGCCCGTCCTCAGCTCCCCAAGCAAGACGCAGCCCAGTCCATGGATGATCCAGTCGACGTGTCTCCAACGCAAGCCACACCCCGGCATATCTCAGCAGCGGAAGCAGCAGAAATTAACATGGCCATTCGACCCAGAGATGTGTACAACGTAGATGCAGAGCAGCCGACTGAAGAGAGTGTTGTCCTGGAGAAGACAGCCGCCGCTAAGTCACGTGACAAGTCCCGCACACAGGTAGCTCAGATGAAGCAGGAGGTCGTGAATAGGTGGGTGTCTCTGCACCAGTGGGACTACGACAAACGACACGGCGAGGATAGCGGCAGTGACAGTGCGCAGGAACCCAATGAGTGGAATCCCAGTCCAGAGCCGCTCGACCCGGATCAGGAAGCGCAGGCGGCGAAGGTCATGCAGCGTGGCATACGACGAGGATCACTGCGGCAGCCCAGTATGGATAATGACCTTGGTGCCGAACAGGGCGAAATACAACAGGTTGTGCCAAACGAGGACCTGCCAGTGGATCAGATACGACGCACAGCTTCTGACAGTAATCGGAGGCGTCCCAGAAACATGGCAGAAGCGTCTGCAGCACATCGCGTCAGCTACTATCGAGCTGTGAACGAGGGTGCCATGAACATACCGCGCTCCAAGCAGCAGGTAGATGGTGGACAGGCAGCAGCAGCACGGCAGAGCTTTCCTGAATCCCCTCTAGACTACATGGATCCAGCACTTCCTCAGGGTGACCACGAACATCCATTAGTTGAAGCACAGCAAAAACAAATGTACCAGCAGCAGCACCAACATCAGCAGCAGCACCAACAACATCATCAGCATCAACAGCATCAACAGCAACACCCGCATCAATACCAACAACGGCAGCAACACCGAACAGAAGATCCACGGATAGCAGCAGGTGCTGACGGTGGGTCTCCCAGGAGACGTATGCAACCTCAGCAGCAAGACGCTCCCAGCCCGTATACCCCTGCCGCCACAGCCACGGCTCACCATCTGCAGCGCAAAAGGTCTGGTGACAGGGGCCTACCGCTTGCTGTTGATGAGACACAAGCCACTATTCTGTGAGTTGAAACGCAAGACAATCAGTCGTGTGTCCTTCAGACATGCATCGTACTTGTGTGGTCAACTCCACACGACAGACTTCACCACCAACATGGCTACGTCAATGTAAAAGAATTCAGTCCGGATGTGCAAAATATAATTATGATACTATAGCCGACAGCTAAACTTTCAGTAAGTTAAAATATCAGTTGGAAACAGCACACGCGCCTTCTATAGAAGTATTTCTCAAATTTGAAATCCAAGATTGCATGTACATCAGAAAGCTTGCACTATGTGGCCCCAACAGTGCACAGAGAAGATGACACGTAGTAGTTCAGTCAGGTAAGACATTGACAGGCATGTCAGATTCTTTTCATGTTATAGAAAGGCGACGTGAGCCCTAACACAGAGATGCCATTGTTTGCCAAGACAACTTTGATGTCCGATGAACTTACTTATTCGTGCAACTAACGTGTTACTTGAGCAGTGTGGCGTGCCATGGTTGCAGCCGCTAGGATTTCATTTTTTTAAACTTTTCATTTATGCGCAGTGCATTATATAATCTCAGTTGAGAGAATCTACTTAGTACTTATTTCCTCCTTTCTGATAACACAATTGTTGACCATTGACCCTGAGCATTATGTGTTATGGAGAAGTTGCATTGCAGCAGACAGGGTGGGTAGGTCTATAAAGGCCATTGCAGCATATACAGGAAAGCTCATTAGTAACATGGACAGTGGAATAATACTGGCCCCAAGAGTGACCCAGACAGATTCAGTGGTTGGCGAATCGTTCTTATTCCGATCCGAATTAGCAACAGCAACCAACAAAAGAAGGCAAAAAGCAACAGCAAATGCAGGTATGCAAGAAACACCCAATTTCCTAAAAAGAAGAAAAGAAAGAGAAAAAAGAGTGAATGAAGTGTCACACATTGATTCACACAGATTCAGCGCTGTGCAACTCCGCAAACAAGGTTGGGAAGTTGACAACCTTTCAAGACTTGTGGAAGCTGCGATACACGACTCCAGTTTTGAATCTCGTTTTTACGACCTGGGATGTCAGTTGTGTGTGTGTGTGTGTGTGTGTGTGTGTGTGTGTGTGCGTGCGTGCGCGAGCGTGTGTGTGTGTGTGTGTGTGTGTGTGTATGTGTGTGTGTGTGTGTGTGTGTGTGTGTGTGTGTGTGTGTGTGTGTGTGTGTGTGTGTGTGTGTGTGTATGTGTGTGCGTGTCCCATATGGTGCAGTGGTATGTGCAGCGATTTCCAATCGATAGGTTGCGGGTTCGATTCCAGACGATTATGGTCACACACGTCTTTCTTCTCTTTCTCAGACTCCTCCTGACTTTTCTTTCATTCTCCTGGGTGCTTACCAACAGCCAGTGCATGCCGGAGTATGTGGTGTGATGTGTGTGCGTGAAAAAATGAAAAAAAAATGAAAAGACCAAAAAGTAGGGACCTGGCCAGAAAAAGCCACTTCATAGCTTTGTGGTGTAGACCAGGCTGAATAGTGGCGGTCAATTCTTCAGCCTTGCAAGCTGATGAATGGTGCAATCCCAGCACAAGCTGCTATGGCTTCTGCTGTAGCATCGCTATCATCGCCTCTGGCGATGGGCGTCCAATGATCCAATGGTGTGTGTGTGTGTATTCGTAAGCGAGAACAAAATTACCCTTCTCCAAACTCACATACTTGATGCGTATAATATGCGGAGCTGTAAACTCTGGCTTATGGACTCTATCCGGTATACATTCACAGAAGATGACATGGAGTGCTGCTGCTTGTGATGCTGGCGTGCAGTGATTTCCTACTAGTGTAGAAGACTGGACATGCCTGGACACTGTTATTTGCCCAGCTGATCCAAGTAATAGCACTACTATCATCAGCATACATGCCTACAGCTGGTAGTAAGTGTACCTGGTGATGAGCCTGTCAATGTACTCTACACATGGTGGACGGTCATTAATATTGTATTCCCGTAGCTATGCAAAAGACGTAGCGATGTTCTCTCGTAGCATGTTGGTGAGCATAAGGAGCATAGCCCGACAGAAGTACACTGGCTTGGATCCAAGATAACCAGCTGAAATGAATAATGCATGCATGCATATTCAGTAATGTATCTGAACGCAACTACGGCAAGCATGATTACGCTGAACTGGCGTTACTGTACATGCAGTTCCACTCTCTTTTCACGAGGTCCGAATTTCCGATACCTTCAATGGTACGCCTCACCACCTATCATGCCAATGCTAATGCTTGAACAAATAACACCTCCCATGTAGTAAGATGGTGATTTCCGGCACGGGCAGTTTGGCTTGTCGTCGGGCTATTCCTAGGCGGCGATCACGTGACGCACGGCAACAGCGCGTTACATGCAATTACGCATGTTGTTCATATTCCTGTGTTGATGAGGGTACTTGGTTGGCCAGTATTACGTTCACAGATAAACACGTAAGTCAGCCTTGCTATGGCTGGTGCTACTAGTGTGCAGGTAACACAGAATGTGTCTCAATAAATCGGCTGCAAATTCACAATGCAAAGCCTTCACAGACACATTGGAATGGCATTGCCAGCAAGAGCCACATACGCACACAAAATGTGTTGACTCAACGTAATGATGTCCCTTTTCCTCGTTCGGAGAACATGTTGCATATGGCAGAAAAGTCAAGTTCTCCGCACCTCCACACAGGGCAGCTTCACAGAACTTTGGTACATGTACCTCGGTGCAAGTGTAACTTAGCATGCTGAGTATAATAATTATTTCGAAATACGTAACAACAGGAGGGACTATGATCGACTTGTGAATTCGAATTCTAGTGAAGATGCTGAGAAAGAGACAATGCAGTGGCGATCTACGGCCTCAATGCGCTGGTGTAGATTTCACTTCAGTGCATTCTCCAGAACAACCAGTTGTCCAGTGAAACAGTCGACTCCTTGAGCCCATTTGATATTGGCAACACCACTGATATACCATGATGAGTTGCCAATATCAAAAGAGCTCAGGGCGTTGGTAAGAGGCCCAATGTTTCTCTCATACGGCATCCGTGAGCAGGCACTTCCGGAATCAAATCAAATCTTGCGTCTTTGCAGATGACTACAACGAAAGCTGAATAGACCTGCTGGCAAGGTTGGTAGTAAACTAGGTGTGTGTTTCGCATGCGCAACTTCGGTACAGGTAATTTTACCTAAAATAAAACGCACCGAAAATATACGTACATGCATGCCGACTGCAGTACGGAAAACTGGTTTACCGAAATTTTCGCTCTACCGAAGCGTTGATGTTGGGAAATACCGAAAATATTACACCAACGAAAATTCCCGGTTTTACAGTATAAGCCACATCCCTTCTTGAACCCATCCACGAGATCAAATGTATGCATACACGCATCACATACGTACCCACACATGCATGCATGCACACACGTCCACACACACACATAATAGACACATAGCGCATGTACTTACATTCTTGCCCTCGTCTTCATCTCTGACTAAAAACTGAGATCCAATACAGTCTGGTCCAACAGTGCGGTGGTCAACGATGCACATGCTCTTGATTCCAGCAAGGACCAGGTTCTTGCATACCTCTGATCCCAAGCCATAGACTCCCAGCACACAGATGCGGGAAGCACGTAGCCTAAACAACAAGAAAAATCAGACACAGATGCATTCCTATAGGAATCAGAATGGCAAATTGTTAGAATGATCCAGAGCACCTCGCTCGGACCAATGAAAGCTTGTGAGTGTAGAATGCATCGCCATTTTAGTTCTTCGTGACTGGTAGCAGAGTGTCGGTCCCCAACAAGACTGAACGAACTACGGTGTTCAGGAACACTGAGCACATGAGCAAGGAATGCCGTGCCATGTGCAAATTCCCTGATGGGTGATGAGGAAGACGTCAAGGAGATGTAAATATCTACTTCTAACGGCACACTCTGCCAAGCATACACCATACCGGCAGCCTCCATTTCTCCTTCCTGGTATGAGAGGTCCCGTGAAATGATTCATGCGAGAGCTTTAGGACAGTGTATGTTGACTGTCAGTGTGGGCAGGTTGAAAACCATGGTACCCCTTCAGCCCAGTTTGTCATGAACTATACATGCTCATACCTGTACTGGCTGTTGTACGTATATCCACATACTTAATTCCAAAGTTCCAATCCAGCATCACAAACGACTACGGTCCTACGGATCTGGACCTTATGCCTGGATTTAGAAAGTAATTCAAAGTATGTTCTTTTTTGGGGGGGGGGGGGGGGGGGGAGAAGGACTCGCCTGAAATGAATTTTGTTCACTCTGTGGGCTTCTGCAAACTGTTGCGACGGTCCCTAAACGGGCTGGCACTGCCGCTCATGCACTGCCTGTACTCGCTGAAGGTGAGGCTGGCATCGGTTGCTTCCTTCTGCACCAGTCCAGAGGCATCATTTCTCCACAGTCCACTGTTACTTCAGTTCAGGATGGATTCTTAGTTAGTAACTTCTTACTTCTGGGGGAGAGTGGTACAGTACTGTTGGGTGCTGAAGAACGGCCAGGCTCGAATTTTCCCAAGCCCAGCATGCCAATATACACATGAAGATTCAACTGTGCATAGGCTGTAATACATGAAAATAAGAACGGTCTAGGCTAGGAGGCTGACCCCCAGTTCTTCGGCGACCGATAGTACTGTAGGACAATTCCTTAGAAGTATGGTGGTTGAAGAGAGCCACACTCATTACGTCGTGTCTCTACCATCTTGGGTGTCCACAGTCAGAATTGATCACGGGAGAATGTTTCGCCATTTCTCCAAAGAACTCTAGACCAGTGAGAAGTGCGGCAATTATAAATACAAAACTCAATGTATGCCTCCAGCAGGGAATGGTCAAACTAAGAACATACAACCAAGAGCAAGAGCATCCAACTAGGAAGTCCTTCTGCCACGGTGGAATCTTTCTACTCGTATAACATCAGGCTTTCACAACTTTCAGCTCACTGATACCATCATACGAACATGCAGGCAGCGTTCAAAACTCAAAATGACTGGTATCTGATCGGCTGCACCGCATACACCCATGATCTACGCAGTACGCACTTGTTCATACTTCCGCTAAAATGAAACCACACTTTTGAATATGTACATGTACTTTGGTCTTGGTAAAACGCATTCAGCGTCCTCAAATTAGTTTAGATAGGTTTACGGTAAGGCTCTTCCCCGTGACCGCTTTAGTCGTTTGAGAAATTTGTGCCCAGCGACTGAAGTCGGCTATTGAAGTGTACTACACAAGGTGCTCGGCATGACGGAGAGAGCAGACTTTTGGCTTGTAAATCAATGGCCGTTACTATTCTTCATGACGGTGGACGTGCTTGAGCAGGAGCTGATTATTTCAATCAATCAAAGCAGAACACATCCCGTCCAACAACTACAACGGTTTCTCCACCACTCTCCAACAACACCAAAATCCCACGTCCATGTACGTGTATCGTGCATGCATTCACTGTGTGTGCATGATGTTCATGAGGTCGTAGAAACCGAATGTTGTGCCATCGGCCTGCATACAATTAATTGTATACATGTACATGGTCTCCGATGATTGCATACCAACGTTGTGGCCTCGTAACTCCGGTATGGGACAAGATATTCCCATGAAATGTTCTGTGTATGATCTGCAGACGTGCGTCTATCAAGTGGTGTAATTTGTTTGCCATGGTTCCAATTTTAAAATTTTGAACTGAAGTCGCTACTACTAGTTTGTGGGACGAAGAGAGGACCATCTTATTTTCCCCTGTTTCGTACTGCTACAAGCATGCATGATCTGCACTCGAGATTCATGAATGTAAGATTCGATGCAAACAAAACGAATATTTCGAAACACTGGAGATATTCTTAGACCATACCTCTTCTGAGCATCGAGACCCCAAAGGCGAATCTGCCGATCGTAAGTTGCAGCTTCTTCCTCTGTCAGACTCATTTTGAAATAGTCAAACAATAGTTGCTCAAATCCGCAAGATCAAAAGTACATGCTTGATGGAGCAAAATTGGTCTCAGGACAAGAGTTTGAAATGCAAAAACAGTGCAAGTGAAAGACTTGTTTTTTGTATGATGATGAACCCGCGGTGATTCCCCTTTTGCTGGTTTCGGCCCATGCCCATGGCCATGGTGATGAACCAAGCGATCCGCCGCGCCCCAACGCGTACAAACGCCGCGTTCCCTTTTTGCTGTGACTTCGTTTCAAAAAATGTTTGTTGTCTTTTTAAAGTTTTTATCCGGCCAGCTAGCTAGCTGGCCCGGCAAGGCCAGTACAGACCCAGTCGAGTCCGACATGACTGGCATGGCATGAATGATGACAGACAGTCAGTGTGCAGAAGTGGATCCAGACTCCAGAGTCACGGTCCGGACGGGTGCTGTCACTTCAACAGAGCCGAGCACGGAAGTGACTCTGTGTAGCCCGCGAAGACTCGATCGCTTGATCGCGTGCCCCAGCTTTGAACAACAGACAACAGGGAAGCTTGACTGCTTGAGTGTTCGTTTTTGGTGCAGTCGACTAGTCGTCACGTCCTCTCCGGTTACAGTAGTGGCTGTACTGCATGCAGTCTGCAGTCTCTGAATAGTCTGAGTAGAGTCCATGCAGTGAATGTGTAGCAGAAGTACCTAGCTTCGAGTAAAGTATTTTAGTAGTTCAACTACAACAAAGTACAAGCCAAACAGTTTGTTTGGCTGACTTATAGGCGTGGGTGCAGCGAGGACTTCTGGCATAGTCAGATGGGTGCTCTGACGTCTCTCACGTCGTTCTTCTGGTTTTAGCTGCCCAAAAAGTCTGGCCAAATGGTGCAGATGCGATGATGAATGTTGTGTTTTATGCGTCAGATTGTTTCGTCTACGGTCCACCGGACGAGAAAGTGGCTGGTGATGACACGGATTCTGCACAGGAGTCGTTGACTCTTTACTGTTGATTGGGTTTCTCTTCTGCAAGCACGTCCTTCTGGTGTGCTGTGATTGCGATGTTCGCATCCCTTGGATATGTGTGAGGTTTAACGCTTCCCTGTCGATTTACATACCTGAACTTGCACTGGCGACTGAAGAGAGACCGAGTTGGATATGCTGAAAAACGCTCGTCGAGCTGTGAAGGTGTTCCAGAGCGAGAATGTCAGAAGTGTACCTGAATCATGCACCGCGGACTTGTTCAGCATTTCAAAGGTAAACTGATGAAGAGAAAATTTTTGATTGTTCAGGGAACCCCGGTTCCTGGCTCTGTCGAGTTGCGAATTGAAAACAAGGTCGTGAACAATAATAATGTAATTATTTCCATAATTTGTGGCAATTTTGATACCTCTCGATCTCGGGCTAGGCTGGACGCATTCAATTATCTGCGTCTTTTAATGTTTGTACTGTGTGTGTCCATGTGTAGACTGTGCGACATGGCTTTCCCTGGCGACCCACCGTGTTGGCGGTGGATGTGGTGCAGAGTTTGCTGGCAGTTGGCTGTGAGACAGGAGAAATTAAATTGTATCCTCTTGTAGATTCTTGCCATGGGAGAATATCCTTCAAACTGGGAGCCACATGGGTTTTTTTTCTGAACACCATTTTTTGACCTTTTATACAACATTATGTCATGTTGTATAAAAGGTCTACGTAGTCCAGCCAAGTCTAACGCGAATCGTGAATTTATTTACTAGTATTTATTGCTGTAGTATGCACAGTCCACCTACTTCGGTGAGTATACCTGATTGGAGATGATAATTATAAGAATGTGATCATAAGGGGAGGCGGTGAAAGGAAATTGCAGTACATGTGGTGCAGGAAACAGACGAAAATGATCCTCTCTTTTTAAACTGTCCTCATTCCATGTGCAAGAAGATGGTAGCTATAGCAATGTTTGGCATCATGTGTACTCATACTAGTAATAAGTCTGCCTTTGCCTTCTCTGGTCCCCCGTTAGTCAAAGCCACATGTTGTAGATTTGCACTAAGGAAAAGAAGTTCTTTGTCTCGCTTGGTGTGTGTGTGGGGGGGGGGGGAGGGGGAGGGGTGTTACATGTATCAGCCTGTATTATAAAGATGTGATGTCTACAGGCATGTTGCCTAATGTTACTAGGGCTGGCTGGCACAGCAATCATGAATGTTTGCTTCACTGAATGCTTTCAGTCTAGCTGGGAGGGCTCTATGAAGCAACGACTTTTAGATATTACGTGCACTGTCTTTGCCTCCAGGCACACTACATCAGTGAAAGTCGAGATGCTGTTTTGTCTTTTCCCTCCTCTGTTTAATAAGCTGCTGGAAGTCCTAAAGCCTCATTTTACTATTCAGACTGACTACAAAAATGTCATAGCTATGACTTGTTGTGTGGCCAGTGTGCCTGTGGGTCCGTTGCAGCAGGTGAATGCTTTTCCTGCTGCCCACTCCATGTTATCCTCTTTTCAATAGGCTCTATGCAGTAGTGCCTTGTCAGTCAGTATCAATGGATCGCAGTATAGAGGTCTACACTGTTTTTAGCTTTCCTTGACTTTCCTGCTCACTCTCCTAGCTTTGGACGTGCTGGCGTAGAGCATAGCGTAGACCATCCTAGTGGTGCCAAGGTGCAATGTCTAACTTTTTTGGTGAACGAGGTGAGTTGGAATTCTGCCTTTTGCTTGCTGCTGTTAATGTATTGTTTATCTACTGTATTGTAGGCTAACATACGGCTCTGTGCGTGAGGTGAGGAACTAAGTGCCTTGCCTTTACTTTATACCAGCCTCAAGCTCCATCTCTTGCTTTCCTGCATCCACTTTATGTTGTAAATTATTAGATGCTGGTACTTGAAAACCTCTTGGAGCCTCTTTGCATACACTTGGGCATATGGGTCCACATGGGGTACATGGATCTTTGGCTATGGTTATGTCATCAAGACGATATCCAATCACCTCTTCTAGTGTAGCATGATGAGACATCAGGTTGGTCATCATCTTTTAAGTTCCATGTCTAATGTGTTGTACATGTAAGTTCCGGTGTCAGGAGGCTTTTGGAAAGCCCTTCTTTGTTGTCTTGCTGTGCGGCTCCTGAGTGAAAATTAGGTGCTGTACCGCCAAAGTCCCCTCCCCCCCCCCCCCCTGCGTGTCAGTGGCCACAGCTGTTGTACCATGCATGCAATGACTGGGTTGAAAGTGCCTACAAGACTTTGCCTTCATTTGCACACCTTCGGCTTGATGGGGAGAGTTGAGGAGCAGAGCAGCGGGTACCGCCTAGTACTAGTAGCACTACTTTCGTTGTTCTTGGAACTAGTAGTGCTGTCACTTTGTGTTGGTATGCAGGCGCCTATGCAGTGATCTGCATTGGCTATGCAGTGATCTGCATTTGAATGTTCATTGTTACAATCATGTAGCCGTGTGTGCTCCTCCAACGTTTTTTTTAAATGATTTCCATTGCTCATGGGATGTTCGGAGTAAAGTAACCTTATGTAAGCCATGCAGACTCCACCCCTGGCAATCTTGACGCCGCTCTTGCATACATGGTATTGTATGGGTCTATACAAAGTGCTTTGTAGCACATGTGTGCCGTGCTATATGATGCCACTTGCCAGTAGTGCAATAGTCAGTATCAGCTATAAACTGCCTTCGTAGCTTGTCCGTTGTGTTGTCTACAGCAATAGATTGAAACATGAGCAAGTGGGGATCATGGGAACCTGTCACTGTTACTTTGTATTCCTACTGCCTTCTTATTCGTAATGTTGTATGGCTTCTAAATCTCTGTTGGGTAGTGTGCTAGCCAACTGCGAGTTGCGGGGGTGTTGATAGCACATCTTTAGTTTGTTTTATTCCAAGCAATACTGTACATGTCTGGGGTGGCCAATGACCACTTTGTGTGGCGATTGCAGGCACATACTGGCATCGCACATGTATGCGGTGTTGTAATTGATCAAGTCTCACATGTGATTGTTTGTGCACATGTTTCTGTTGATCTGCACCTTCACTTTATTTGTCAGTTCCCATCTCTTGGTCAGTTTGGAACGTACTTGGTTGACCACTAAGAAAACTGATGTAGGTAGCAAGGCGATGGCTCTGCAGGGTTTCTTTGTTTCTGGGGGTTATGCATGAGGTGAATTACAAATCCTACAGGTGTATCTCTGAACTATAGGATAATAATTTAGAAACACAGTGGTTGCTCTTGGGTGGGACTGTATGAGAGGGCGACTGCTATTGGTACTGCACAGGCTATACTACTTTACATTGTTGCCCTAAAACTGATACCAGGTAAACATCCCATATGTTCTGTCTGGTATGTAGTCAGTCTGCCGTGCTTTGTTTCATCAAGTGGGGGCCTGCTCTCTATGTTGACAAGTGACACATGGACAGTACCGTGTGTTCGTGTTCTGGAACGTATGAGGCAGGTCAGACTGGGAACAGTGATGCGTTGTTGTGAGCAGCGGTGACCCCTCGTTCTTGTACCTTGTTTCAGTGCGTTTATTAGTAGATTTTTTTAATGTTGTCCTATATCCAAGGAACGGAGGGTCTCTGGACCAAACTACCATAGTGGGTGAATGAGGTCCTCTCAGGGATAAAAGGAGCCAATTTTGAGCGAAATCAGAAATTTAGCCACGCCCGGTGATACGGCCAAATTTTGGTCATTACAAACATTGACTCTTTAAGTTGGTGGCTCTCTCCTATACTCATTCTGCTGGTTGTGGAAATCCTTGAGATTAGACCGTTTGCCAAAACTTGTTCATGATGTGCATGCAAAAAAAGCACTGATACTGGTGTCCTTTCCTGCCAACTGCACTCTCATGGTATGTTCAGTACAGCTGCTCAGTGTGTTGACTTGTGAAATGATTATATTAGGATAATTATGTCATCAAGCCAGCCCCTCAGTCGCTGTCCACAGTGATTGGCAGGTTGTTTTCAAGCCTGGAGTGTGCAGTAGTACTGCGTAGATTGAGAACTGGAAAATTAATAATAATTGCCTGTGGGGGCGGTGTAATGCAGGGCTGGTCCATCATCGTCATTTCCTTTGTGCATTCTGTGCCGCAGTACTTGGTACCTGTACTTGTCTGGAGTATTGTAGTTGTGCGTACCGTATGTGCATGTGTATGTAGCAGTCCCCGGGGATTCTCTTAAAAGCACCAACTTGCCAATTGCCATGAACAGTTCACATCAGAGTAGCTGTGCCAGAGCTAAATGCACAGCTTGGTGTGAGATACTGCCCCGAGCCCAGTCATGATCACGTAAAGTAACCTGGGCTCAATGGAGTACGTGCCACAAGGTGCAGACAGCGGAGGTGGAGAGTCGTCAGCGTAGGTGCAGTTTGCATACACACACACACACACAGACACACAGCACGCATTAGTAATACATCTCACATGTATGTGCTGGGGGCTGTGTAGGCTGCTGAGCTGAAGCTTGGACTGTGCATGTAAAAGAAGCATGTGCGAAGTTGTCACTGCTTTAACCTTGCACTGCAGTCCCCATTGTTGTGTCATCAGGTGGTCTAGGTGTTCACTGGGCCAACCAATAGAGGTCATGCGATTACATCACGAGTAGAGATGCTTTGGCACAGTCGCGGCACAGTGCTGCACTGCACTAGCACTAACGACTCACGCTGTATACTTAGCGCCCATTAGAAGATCCGCTGACTCACGCCATGAATTCATTCACATAACCTCTATAAGCGGCATAACTCACACTCCCAATGGTGTTACTTTGTCACAGCTCTGACCGCCCGGAGTGGCATAAAGCTGTAGAAATGACATGTTTGCTCACTTCCTGACATGAGTGACATCACCATTGTACCGATATTGTGGAGTACCGTAAAAGTCCGTAAATAAGTACCTGCCCGAAAGAAATACCCCCTTCATTCTTTTGGCTGTCTGTTGAAGTCAAGTCAAGCCCGATAAACATACTGCCCGAAATAAGTACCAGCACGTACTGTGACGTAGCATGTACATCTACATGAAAATGACTTCTCCACTACACGTAAGTCAGGTCCGAAAGTTAGTTCGTGCCCGAAAGTCAGTACCCACCCGAAAGTTAGTACGGGTGTGGTCACTAAATTCGAAAGTAAATACGTACTTATTTACGGACTTTAATGCGGCAAAAGGCCTTGTCAGACTTTCCAGTGTCTTCTGTGTGCACCAGGCTGGTCAAAGGATCTTTTCAACATTGCTGTGGATGTATGTACGTGTGGATGTGTGTGTGTGTGTGTGTGTGTGTGTGTGTGTGTGTGTGTGTGTGTGTGTGTGTGTGTGTGTGTGTGTATGTGTGTGTGTGTGTGGATGTGTGTGCTCATACATGCATGGGCGTGTTTTCTTTAGGGTGCGCTAATCAGTGTCACCGCGGACAACTGCGTACACATGTGGAATCTGCGTCAGAAAATCCCCGCCATTGTTCAGTCTCTGAACTTTATTGAGAAGAGCACTGGATCGAGTAATCCAAGTGGAAAGTATGTTGTGTAGTTCCATTTCCGTTTGTGTCATCTGCTGATCTGATGTTGCATAATGCAGTACAGTATTTCATGAAGCTGAGCACTGAGTGGGTGTGTGACATGCTGTGTTTCTCTTTCGTATTATTGAACATGTTCAGCACTCTGTTTTGTCTGTTCTGATGTTTTCGCCAGGATATCGTGTTGCTACGTCCCGTGCCAGTCCACGTGGCTCTACATCGGCACCGAGGATGGCAACGTGTACACCGTCGTCATCTCCTCGTTCACCGTCTCCTTCTACGTCATCTATTGGAATCACGTCATTGACAAGTGAGTAGACATCTTGCTCGGCCTCCTAAACCGGCACTAGCGGATTGAGACCAGAATATCAGCGCGTCTGGCTATTTATGAGGAAATGATCTACAATTTGAACCCCTTTTATTTGACCCTAAAGAACAGAAATCACCATGATACAACTACAAAGAACAGAAGACACAGGAGAGAGAGGGGGGGGGGGGGGGGGAGAGGCTGAGATGGCTGAGATCGGGGGGTTATCAGAGAGAAAAGAATGGCACCGTGATGAAAAGAGCAAGTCGAAGGCCAAAGACCAGTACAGGGAGTATAGACCGGCAGCCAAATTTGAGAAATCGCTCGTATCAACGGGCGTGCTTCCTTTTTCTGCTGACAACCTGCAATTTCTACAGTGCATTGACTATACTTGTAGGAAGCTGAATCTTTTAGTTGGCCATGCTAGAGCTGTGCAGAAACAGACATACCGAGAGATTTTCTGCACTGAAATTTCACAAATCTCCGGCCATTAAAGCACCTTCTTCAAGCACTCAAGACCCTGAAAAATTCAAAAATTCAAGACGTTGCCGGTTCAAACCCCACATCGGGCGACTTTTTTTCTTTTGTTTGGAACTGAATTGCAGTGTTCTCGTGGTATTTAGCCAGTAATTTTAGCAGTATGTCAAGCCGATCGTAATTAACTTCTTCACAGAAGTAAGAAAATTCACTGAATCCCCATCAGGACCATTAATCCGGAAGCGTTTGTAAGAGCAAGCATGTTCAGGCTTTCCGTCTTCTTGCGAGAATAAAGTAAAGACAAGACAATACAAAAGAAATGTGAATTAGAGTGTCAACTGCCAGCACAAAGGATCACTAGCGAATCATCTGCCAGGCATATGTAATGGCCAGCTGTATTGATGTTTACACCTAGTCAGACATCAAAAACAGCAACAACTAAATCGACAACAACAACAACAATAGCAGCAGCAGCAGCAGCACACACACGTTTGACAACCCCACCCATACATGCACAAACACACACACACATCAACACTACTACTACTATTACTACTAAATACAGCTGCAATTGCTGGCCACGCCGCTCCCAAGATGTGGGAGACGACGTCACGGAAGAAGTTCATCAATGACAGTACGGCTGATGCCGTCCCAGATCCTGGGGACGCCGAAATTGCCTGTTGCAGCGTGGGCACTCATGGCGGAAACACACACACACACACACACACACACACACACACACACACACACCTATCCCCTGTCCCGTCCTGTCCCGTTGACCCATTGGCGTTAACGGATACTTCGTCCCATCCGGGTAGGAGAGATGATGGACAATGTTTCCGATGGTGAGTCTGGTCTTGGATGTGTCGAAATAGTCAACTGAAGATGTATACACACATGCACACAGCCGCACACACACGCACACGCACATGTGCACACACACTTAGGTACATCAAACATGTCTTCCATTAAATTTTTATGCTAAAGTCAATTTCACACGATCTGACAGTTTACAACGGCCTGGTATAGCAGCGAATGCTATGCTCAAGAAATGAACCCATACAGAAAATTGTACACGCACCTGCGTAGACTGTAGTAGTAATGATGACAGGCTCGTCATGTGGCTGCATCATTCTGATCAGCGGGCTCAGGATCACTGTCAGATCCACAGTCACTGGAATCGGAGGAATCCTCCACAGACTCCGAAGTGGTGGTGCTGCTTGTAAGGTGGCTGGAACCAGGTTTGGTGGAGCAAGTTCGACAGCCACATACATCTGTGCAAGGCAACATGGACTTGTGGCATGCACACCTCTGGCTGGAGCAGTCTCCGACCACGCAGTTGCACTTCACCATGGCTAGAACCTCCTTGGGTGCCACGTTGGATAATAGCCAAGCAATCTTCAATACACCTGCACCACACGGAAAAAAAAACGCCAGACATTGGGCATTGTCCAAAGTCTGAAAAAAGGAAACCGGGGATACTGGATGAGTTCTAGGTGGAACTGTTTGAATACTCGCACTAAGTAGGGAACATAATATTATTAAAGTTTGAAGGTGGGCTCAAAATCTTGATGGTGAATGCACATTTGGGAGATGTACGGTGCATTATTATTATTGCCGGTGCAGCTGACGCCATGAAGACCTCATCGTCTTCTTCTGTTCGCCCTCCGAGATCGCCAATCACAGATGTCATCAAGCCAATATAGTTCTCCTCGCTGAGGTGAGCGGCAATCACCTTCTCCGGCTCCGTGACAGAGGAGCGAACACACTTCACCCGGCCTTGGTACTGATTCAGTATCCTCGCTTTGACCAGCTCCGTTTTGTAGTTAGGGCTTGGCCTGCCGAGTGCTTCAAGCCTAGCAACGAATTTGCTGCGCAGAAACTGAATGGTGACAGCTCGTATGCCTCCTCTCCCATCTTGCTGCAAGATCTCGTTGTCGATGACATCAGCGACAACATCGAAGGCCTGCTGGTATATCGATGCAGTCTCAGATCGCTCCTGGCTCAACTGTGTAGTACAGAGGGTGAACTTGGCATAGCACGAGCGATGGTATACAGTATCGGTAGCGATACAATCCGGATTACTCTGGACCTCCAGGAGTATGCGGGCATCTTCCTTCTCCAACGCAGCGTCCAGAATCCTCTGCGCTGCGTCAAAGCTCTCGCACACTGACAGCTTTTCAGCTGGCTTCCCTCGCTTCTGCTTGCTCTGTTGTTGGCAGAACAAACACAGCTCTTTCCGTGTTGGCTGTGGCGCTGTGCTACGTGTACATGGCCTTTTCGGAGGTGGTGGCTGATCATCCTCATCTGAGGCTGAGGAATCAGAGCAAGAACTGTTGGCATTTGCTTGGGCTTTTGAGATTCTCTCGAGACTTTTCTTGTGCGTGTACTTCCTGTAACACTCTACATGTACAAACCCACGAGGTTCAGCATTCTCATCTGCGCAATTCTGTTGAACCAGGAAGGCACAAGTTGCATCCTGCCGTAACAATGCTGCTTTCACGATTCTCGGCCAAGACACATCTGTAACATTCCGCTGATTGGTAGCGCCAGGGCAGCAGTGGCACAAGCATCACTCCCAAGACATACCAGCTGCAGGAACAGTGGGATACATGCAAAGGCAGTTCGGGCTGTTTGTTCAAGAGCTTCAAAACTAACAAATTTAAATTACAAAATAAACTCACCTGCGTTCTCCTCATTTCCTCGTCGTGTCGGCTCGCATAAAACCAGAATGCTACTGCTGGGTGAGGGGTCCGCACAGTCCTCGTCCTCGGTGCTGCTCTCCTCACTCTCCATTCTACCTCAATACACCTGACGATAACTAAAAACTGTCGTGTGGTCGAAAGGCAAGGACAATTGTCATCTACTTCGAGTGTTGAGAATTGAATTCAAATTTTCCCGGGGGCTGGCGTCGTCATTCACATCACCTGCTCAGGTATTCAAATTTGTGCGGCTTTGAGCAGCGCATGGGGTGCGTATTGTTCGAACCTCGAAATCAAAAGTCGACGATTTCGCGAGGTTGTGCACAGCTCCGCGATGGCCAACTACGCCAGGTACAATCCCAAAGGGGCTGCCTACCAGCATACAAACTTTCAGCTTGTCAGCATAAAAAGGAAACGTAAAACAGGCTTTTGAAAATCGGCAGTCAGACTAGTATGGGAAGAAAACTGCCACTGGTTCATCTGCTGGAGATGTGAGTGATGACAGGTCATACAGCTCGTACGACTTAGGAACTGCTTTGGCACCTGGACCAATTTCAGGAACAGCACATCTCTTCTTTAGCCTTCCGAATGTATGCTCTCCTACCTGCCGCCGCCGTACACGGATCTGGCAAGAATTGAAGCTCAGCTGCTCTGGCGATAGGTTACCGTCAACGGTCATCCTTGTGGATCTTCATCATGGATAGCTTCAGCGAAAATGCACCATCTCGAACAAGGAATGGGCGGATGAAGAAACAAACTCAGACAAATACACCAGTTGCGGAGACAGAGTGTTCCGGGATCATCAAAGGATCAAGAAATAGTAAAACAAATAGTTTTTCAGGCATGTGCGTGCAGTTCATGCAGAAATTAAAATTCCCGCGCTTCATGGTCCACATGGGCCACATTTTACGTGCATAGCATGCACTGACTGTGTGAAGGCACAGGCGTTGCAAGTGGCTCGTACGGTGATTTACATGTGTGTGTGTTTGTACCGTGTGTGAATGCAGCCTGACTGCTTGTCCTTGAACATTGGCCCAGGTGACACTTTCTAGTGCACGCATGTGTGTGTGTGTTTGTGTGTGTGTGTGTGTGCGTGTGTGTGTGTGCGTGTGTGTGTGTGTGTGTGTGTGCGCGCGTGTGTGTGTATGTATGTGTACGTCTCTGTTTCTCTGCTGCCTTTCTTTCTCCAGTGCAATGAAATTTCGCCCAGGGGCAGTACGATTCCTTGTAGAAAATCCTGATGACAACAATAAAGTAAATTACTTTCTTTTTCTAATGAATAGAACTTGATCAGAATGTTACAGTGGTGTTTTTTGGGGTAGTGCTCGCCAGTTTAATACACCCCAGGCTCTGGTTCTGTACCCCAAGCAGAACAGCCATGCTATGCTGTGAGCCTGTACAGCTTTGCTCGGGTTGATCAACGGCAACTTGCAGTGCTGAGCCCAAGCCAGGAGTGAAGTGCACTGTCCAGTAGTTTTCCCAATTATTGTTCTTTCTCTTTGATGCAGTGGGCATGAGTTCTATAATACTGGCACTTGGTGGTGGTTGTCGTTGTTGTTGTTGTTGTTGTTGTTGTTGTTGTTTTCTCTTGAATTGTTTTGCATAACTGCTTTGCTAAGGTTTGAGCAGGACTCGCTAAGCTTATTAAAACACGTCTCTCTGCTTTGCTGTTTCTTCAGATGTTACTCGTGTATGAGGAGTTCATGGCGTTGTGGGATCTACGCTCCAAGTCTGTCATTTTCCGGCACAGGGGTGAAAAGGTGGGTGTGTAGATCCTGTGAGTGAATGAGCTGTCTTTGCTGTACTTTTCAGCCACATCCATTGGTTTGGTGGAATTGTGAAGTGTGTGTGAGTTCTTGATGGGTGATAATAATATGGCTTCCTGCATGTGCTTGTGGTTGTGTGCGGGTGCTGGTGCTTGTGCTGGTGCTTGTGCCTGCATCTGTCCTTGCCTTGTGTGCTTGCATCAGGGTCCAACCGGTGTGTCATGGCAGAATGACGGCAAACAGTTTGTCATCTCACGGCAGGACGGCAGCATAGTTGTCTGCAGTGGAAAGGATGGGAAGCAACTGCGCACTGTTGTCGGTGCAGCCGTGAAGTGTAAGCAGCCATCTATAGTAGCGTGTCGTATGCGTGTGTTAGTTAGTGAGTGAGAGACAGACAGAAAGAGTTAAGTATTAAATTCTGCAGAAATTGCTTCGCAGGCTCTTTCTCCTTGTCTGGGACTATTGGTAGCTTGTGAAAGATTCTCTGCATAGCACTGAATTGTGGATTGTTTGATAACGTGATACGGACCTCAATTTGTTCAGTCTGAATTCGGGTCTACCGCTTTCGGGTACCATTTTAAAACTCATTTTTTACTCATCCCAGAAGTTGTTTCTTTTCTGTACTCTGTTCTTCATCTGTGTGTACAGCCTCACTTGATACTTTCGTTCCACCTTCGCATCTGCAGTGGCTGTCAATGAAAGAGTAGGTTGAGCAAGTGATTTCCTCCATATAGATTTTATTCGCTGTCACTTTGATATTAATTTGCTTGCCCTATTTTGCCTACTCTGATCACCGATTAATTGCTACCTGGTGAAACGCGCTGCTAGGATATGGTCATCTAGTTCCCAATGATGTCCCGGCCTTTGACGGCGATGACCAATTTTTTTAGCTATAATAGTATCATTCCCTGGGGATCACTCCACTTACCAGCTGTCTGGGATCGAATTGTGCGTGTAGCTGCAATGCTGAATTCTCGGAGATCAACATAATGTGCTTCCTTCTTCATCCCACTTGGCTATACTAGTATGCTGTAGACATTATGTGAGGTCAAAGTTCTGCATGGAGTAATAAAATAGGCAACAATATGCCGTTCAATGTGTAGTGAGTTGGATTGGTGCAAGTGACCTACTCCTTGCGATGGATTTGATTTGTTTTGTCATGCTGCAGACTTGCTCGAATGTCCTATCTATGTCTACATTCTGTCTGCTGTCATGTGTATTCTGTGTTCTCAGGGAGTCGTTGATAATCCACAGCGGTGGGTCTAAGGCTGAGAATGCGGCTCGCTCCGTTACCGTTCGCCGTGGCGATGATGTCAAAACGCTGGACTTCTCTTCGGACATCGTCGGTGTCGCCTGTTTGCCCAGTTGTCCCTACGCTAACGGTAACTGAGAGCTTCAGTGTATTGTAGTGTGTACCGTGTGCGTGTGTGTGTGTGTGTGTGTGTGTGTGTGTCCACTTACTTTGCAAGTACAGTAAACCTCCTCTTATCTGGTCTCCCAGATGCCGGCACTCCTGTACCGGGCACCTTTTTTTTACCTCTCCACTCTCCAGAGTCCTGAAACTGGCTTTTCAACGAAAACTGGCACCGAAATATTGATTGGCATAAACTCGTGGCTACTTGCATGCAATCAGTATGTAGGTGCTGAGTTGAGGGCAATTCCTGGCTACGCGTAGTGCCCAGTCCCAACGTGTCTTAAGGGGAGGTCTACTATACGTTGGGAATCGTGCTAGAATGCAGTGGCAACGCTGCAAGTAAGAGTGATAGATCAGTGGCTGGGCACACCTTGCTTATGCACAGTGATAGTGTACGGTGAACAGTTCATTTTCTTTCACTGAAAGGATACATGTGAAGATTCTGATGGGGCTAAACGTGGCTATTAAATGGAGCTCTCGGCACTTGTGCCGGTACGGTCATGAGATGTATTGTGAGACCTATCCCTTTCCACACTCCATTGTTTGGTGCTGTATCTGCCGCTGGATTATTCCCAGTGGTAGCGATTGTCATGAGTCCCTTGGGCTTCAGGAACGGAGATTAAAATTTCCTCTTTTTTGTGTTACTGCTGTGATTGCCTTCCACCATCACAGAGATCCAGGATCCACACACCATGGTTGTTCTCGGCCGGGATTGCCTCGATGTTCTGGACATGACCACGCCAAGGTACGGCGATACGTGACTGACCTCCTTGTGTAGACTCAAGACAATGGGTGTACACGTCTGGCATGGTTTTCTCCAGCTGCAGTACTGTGTTTGTGTGCTGCAGTGCCTGTGAAGTGTTTGTTGCATTGCCTCAAAGTGGAATGGCAACTCTATGCCCACCCTTTGTCACCCACTGCAAGCCACCTACCTTGTCACATACTGCAAGTTACCCGGGTACCACCTCAGCATATAGAAAGAGGGCTATCACGATATGCATGTTCATGTACTTGTAGTCTTCACTGAACAGTAATGCAATGCTGCAGGAGTAGGGTCCCCTGCTCTTCAGTCCTGGAACTGGTCAGAGAGCTTAGAAGTAGTATGTTGCTTGCCACAGATGTAGACCTGCGTTGCACTTGTTGTGTACCATGCAGCCTGCCATACTTCTCACTGCCATATGCCACATCAATCAGTCAGTCACTGGTCACCTGTGTTAGATACGAGGCGGATGTACCGCCCGATATGCTCGAGTCCCTGGAGGACGCCGGCCGCTCTCAGAAGCCTGTCAAGCAAGGCACTCGAAGAGTAAGACTTACAACACGTACAACACGGAAATAAGGATATCAAGGTGGCGGTGTCATTGTCATGGTCACGTTATGACAGTCACACTACACTCCTATCTCTCTTATCCGGACCTCGGTCTACCGGGCACCCTATGGGCGAGTTTTAGTGGAAATATTACTACTCCTTTGCCATTTTGTGGGAAAGTAATAGTGATGTCATAGTCATACGCCTGATCTCTGGCACTTCCCCCATCAAAATGTATGTGATTCAGAGTTGCGGATATTTCAAAGTCATGGGCAGTGCCCAGTCCCGGACTTCCCGGATAAGAGAGATATGGGTGTAGTCCCTGGTTGCTTCAACATACACTCATATCTCTCTTATCCGGGCAGTCCGGGACCAGGCACTGCTCATGACTTTGAAATGTCCGCAACTCTGAATCACGTACGTTTCAATAGGGAAGGGCCAGAGATCTGGCATATGATGTCACTGCTTTCTACATTTCTTGGCAAAACGAACATAGAAGATAGTTTTTTTCATAGGAGTAGTTATATTTCCACTAACATTACTGAGCTATACATTTCCTATGCCAAGTCTCGCACCCAGCACCGAGGTGATTAGTGTTGTTTGATTTCATGATCCTGACCTTGGCACGAACCACCCACATGATACTGTTGTGCGCTGCTCATTTCCCTGTATGTTGTCACCTGTGTTTGACTTCAGTTGTACCCAGTGAGTGGTGGAGCGGTATCGCAGTTTGTCACTGACTTTAGTGACTTGATTGTGACAGGGTGAGCTAGGCTGTTCCTATGATGTTCCTACGCTGCTCCTATGCTGTTGTTTTCCTATGCTGTTGTTTGTGCTGTAGTTTATGCTGTAATTTGTGCTGTATGAGACTAGCAATGTACTAGTATGCTGTGAGAATGACTCTGTTCCTTTCCGTACTTTGTGTGCAAAACGTTGCCCCAAACCCTATCCCGTGTTTATTCTAACGGTACTGGTAAAACCAAGAGGCGAGAGGCAATTTCATTTTGTCACTTACTTGGGACTCAATATAAATTGATTGTTCTAACCGCAATCAATAAGACAAGCTGAATCGACATTTGTGTATACTTTATTCATGCAATGTAAAACAATGTAAAATGGTGGAGACAATGTGCAATAAAACGATGAGAGTAGGAAGAAATAGTGAGGCAAAAATTAGGATTCAAACAATGATTATGGTTATCAAATAAATGTCTCCTCGTTGATCGTTCTAAGATTGTCAATACCTAGAACTATTGGTACCTTTGTTTCTTCTTCGTATAATTGGGTATGGATGTGCTGTGTGTGTGCGTGTGTGTGTTTCTTCTCCTGCAACAGCCATGCTGACGGATCAGTCAAGTTCTGGGATGCATCTCAAGGTAAACAAAACCGTAGTGTACACATCCACTCATGTGATATGCAATATACTCAAGTATATGTAGTACCCAACTGAACACAATCTAGTTTTCCTGACCGTTGTGCATGCCTATCGTTGATATCTGCATGAAGAAGATGAAAATACAGTGCTGCTCAATGAAGTTTGATCAAGCGAGTCAATGCCACGCCGGGCGCTGTGCAGCACTAGGCCTGCGAACATTGGGACGGTGAACTGTTGCTGCAGGGTGCAAACTTGAGTCGTGCAGCCGGGTTTCATAGAGCAGAACGGTATGTATGAGTGCTCTGGGGGGGGGGGGGGCTCTTTCTGTTTCTGAAATCCCTCTTTCATTGTACCTGTATGCGCCATACCCATGTCTTTTCTGTGTGCAGTTGTCCTGACCAGCCTGTACAGTGTGCAAACAGCGGACTTCTTTGAGCCCGTCAACAAACAACAACAACAGCAGCAGCAGCAGGCACTGCCACAGCCACATTCTGACCTGTGGAAGAGAGCAGTGTCGCACGACAGCATGCTGTCATCGACTACTTCCAGGGGGCATCATGACCATGCTAAACGGCATGGATCCTCCAGCAGCCTCACTGTTGCCCCACCATCGTCCCAGCTGCAGCGCGAGCTGCTCAAGAAACAGCGCTCTTCACAGTCGCAGGGTACCGAAAGCACTGGCGGTGGTGACCTGCCCCTGGTTGCTATTCAAAGCCTGCAGTTTTGCGGGGAGAGTGGCACGTTAGTCATCACCAACATGGCGTCCGTAGTCATGCTATGTCGCTTCTCTGGGCAGGAGAAAGATGTGGCCATTCAGGTATGCCCCCCCCCCTCCCCTCCATTCCTTTTCTCTCCCTGCCCGTTTGTGTCGCTGAGTGTGAATGTTGGTTCAGCTTTTTGGTATACAACTTGCTGTACCCCTGTGCCCCTGTAGATGAAATTCTTATAAGCTGTTTAGCTGTTGTTTCTTCTGCCATCATCTCATGGCTTGTCTTTCACTAGCTGGTATCTAAGGGGTAATCAAAATTGTCGCCATTCCCTGTAACCGCACAAAATGTAGACATGCTGAGATCTCCCCCCCCCCCCCCCCCCTACTGCAAACCGGGCACTTGGTAACCATGTACGAAGAATGGTGGTTTTGTCTTGTGAGCATACGCATCACTGCACACCCTCCCCCTGCCGAACGTTTTGTAAGGTCGTGATACACGTTATTGATCGGCAGCTGGTGTCAACAATTGGAGAATTGTGCTCTGGTAGCTTGAGGTCTGACTCTGCTTTCTTTGATGTCTAAACTTTTATTCAGACGCAAGCTTGCATTTTGCAATCGCCTGGCTTTGAGGATGAGCTCAGTCTTTTGCAACTCTCTGTTGTAATGGTGTGTCAACTTGTTTTTTCTTTCTTTTTCATTTGTACTCGCTTCTGTGCGTGCAGGACTTGCGCGTGTCCTCGAACACTTCTGATCTAACAGTGCGACGATCAATGTCAAACATTGTCATATCCTCCGAGGACGGCAGTGAGGCCAAAGCACCGCTCAAACGTGTGGCCGACTCGCTCGACGGCGACAGCGTCGACGGAGAATTCCAGCTGCCGTGGCTGCAGTGTCGGCGCGGCAAGTTCCGCCAGCACAAGGGCCTGCACGCGCAGCTGTGCCTGACAACGTCGGCACCGGGAGAGGAGCGCATGCCGCGTGTAGTGGAATACTGCGCCACACTAGCCCTGTTAGTACACCGTGCTGTAGAGACTGCTTTTCCATTATTGTTTTTTTAGTGCACAGGACCAATGTTTAATTTATAGCAAAGAAAAGGACCAAGGAGCTACGAGTTATGCTCTAATGTCCACTAACACCAGCAGTTACTTGACAATCAGCTCCAATGTACCAATAGTTTGTGTCCATACATGCTAATTCAGAAGTAGAACTATGCCTGCTCCTGCTGCTGGGTGTTGCTCACATTGCTGTATGCTGCTGAGGAAAGTGTAGGTGTGTATTGCTGTAAAACATGTTCAAATTCTACATGTATGTGTTGATGTCCTATTCGTTATTATTATGTACACGTATGTTGAAAGGAATCCTGCTTTGCCTGTATTGTGTTCTATGATAATTATGATGGGGGAGGGCGAAAGCAAGGTTTGTGAATGTGGATGAACTCTCCGTGTGACGTATCATCCAGATTCTCCTGTCCACTCTTCGCCGGCTGATGTCCATTATTCTCTCCCAACTCGTGGTGTGATTTCCCCTGTGTTGAATGATCTTCTTCTCTTCTCATTCCGTGTACTCCACAGGCTTGCAGTGACCACATCTAATCTTATGATGTTGGTGGATGTAGCCCAGCAGAAGTTGATTATTAGCAAGCCAGTCTCACATTTATCTGGTATGTTGCAGTCGAGTCCGAAAGCTGTACCCGTCTGCGGAGAGGCGATAATCTTTCTTTGACTCTTTGTTGGTGTGTTTGCGTGTGTATGTATGTGTGTGTGTATGTATGTATGTGTGTGTGTATGTGTGTGTGTATGTGTGCGTGAGAGCCTGAGTGTATGTATTTTGGTCGTTGGTCGGTTCAATAGCCAATTTTTTTTCTCAATATCTCTGTCCCGTCTCCTCGACCATTTTCTGATAGTGACCAAATACAAGCATTGTGTATACTATTTCTGTATGTACGCGGGGGAAGCATGCAAGCTTGCGTCAGTACCAGGTTTTCCGATGTTTCTTCGAAGTATAATTGTGTTGTGTGGGCACTAGCGTAGTACTAGTAGCAGTGTAGTGTAGTGTAGTGTAGTGTAGTGTAGTGAAGTACTAGTAGCAGTGTAGTGTAGTGTAGTAGCAGTGTAGTGTAGTGTAGTAGCAGTGTAGTGTAGTGTAGTGTAGTGTAGTGTAGTGTAGTGTAGTGTAGTACTAGTAGCAGTGTAGTGTAGTGTAGTGTAGTGTAGTGTAGTGTAGTAGCAGTGTAGTGTAGTGTAGTGTAGTGTAGTGGTGGTTGTGTATGTGTTCTGTAGTACATTACTGCAGTCCCGGTAATACATGTACAGCTGTATCTGCTGTATCTGCTGTATCTGCTCTTTTTCGCAGAAAATTACATGTTTGATAACAGTGTATGGTGTACCTAAAGTTATCCACCCTATTTGCTTGTGCTCTCTTGCCAGGAGTATTAGTGTATGATGTACCTATCCACCCTGTTTTTTTTTGGTGCTATCTCACAGGGAGTATTAGTCAGATGCTGGCTGACCGGAGGCGTTCAATGACAATGTCTAATGGATCTCCGTCGTCAGCAGATCGCGGTCGGAAACTACCGAGACTGCCGACGGTTCGCCGCATCCCGAAAACGTCTGTTCCGGCGCTGGCAACGGAGGGAAGTGACTCTACGACGTCTCCCGTACTTAGCAAGAAGCGTAGCCTTGGCTTCACTCTGCGAAAACACTCTAACCATGAGCTCTCGGCGCCCATTACAGAGGATGGACATGCTGGTGGGGAAAGTGCTTCCAGTCCGGTAGAACCACCGCCGTCAAACAAATGGAAAGGCAAGTCGTTCCTTAACGATGTCAAGCGCAAGACATCGTCGCAACATCGGCTGGATGTTGATGCGGTGACGTGTTCCGTTGGCTCAGACAGGGAGGACACGGTGGAAGATTCGGAACTGCAAACAGAAGGAGATTCGTGTCCCATGGCAGATTCGGAGTATGCTGTGTGCATGCAGTTTGCGCTGACTTACGCTATCAAGGACGGTGAGTACAAACTCAACAATTGCTTTAAACGTAGAACATTGCTTTTTAGATGGTCAGTATAATGTATTTGGAACCAAGTGTTGGCAGTTAGGGGCCGTCCGGCATTATCGATAACTTTCACGGAAGTAAGAAGTTCAGTTATGACCCCCCCCCCCCCCCCAATGAAAACTATATTGACTGGACCAGGACAGCTAGAATGGACTGATTTCAGCTATCAATATTTTTCAAAACGAAACTCTCCTCGACCCAATTTTTAGCTTAGCTCCAGATGATCACATATTCTTAGAAAATTGAGCCGGCACAGGCAAAAACCTGCCTAATGTCGCCAGAGGTCGATTTTTAACTGTTGTGCTCATTCTGTGCAGAATTTCATCAGGAAGCGCTTAAGCTGTTGAAAAAACAGGATGAAAAAATGCTGAGGGAGTGCAAAGATATGATCATTTATATAGGCTCCGTTTTGAGTTACTTTGCAGCAAATTGTCACGAAATCATGTGATAATTGCAAGTAGCACCAGTGCATTTTTCAGGTACTTTTAATATCACAAAGCCAGCTAAATCCTCTCTGGGTGGAGGTGGAATCAGCATGATCTGTCCTGTACAATGAGTAACATGTCATCTAAGAGGTTAGATCATTTTGATAGACTGCTATGTACAAGTATAGAGTCGGATACAATTGACACGCGGAAATACAATTACATACGAATATAGAAATGGTCATCGGCAACATCGGCAAATACATATTTACAACATTGTCCTTCAACAGGATCAGACTCAAGCATGAGATTAAGAAGAAGCTGGACAAACTTCCTCTTGGTACTGCGGAGGTACATGCTCTCGTATCTGGCTGTACAGGTACTGCTTGCGCTCTGCCGAGAGACCACCTGGAGAGATCGTACTGGGCAAGCCGGCCTGCAGCAATTCATCAGAAGGGACCTTCAAAATCTGGACCTGGCGTTCAGGAGAATCAGCAGCCTCCTTGACAAACAGCACACCAGGATCAGTACGAGTTGTGCGCATGTAGTGCATAGAGATACCTGGTACAGGTTTGAAGAAACGCATGAAAAACCGGTCCCACTCGCGCCGGACAAGACCCGATCCGGGTATCACTTGAACTGCATTGCATCCAGCACTAGAATCCACTACATCAGCCAATTGAGACATAGAATACACGTTGTTACGCCGATAACTCCGCTTGAGCAACCCGAAGCATCCGTCTACCAAGCAACGTGTATGACCAGTAATCATAAAGTGAATCTCAATGCTCTCATTCAAACCAGCAATGCATCGCCAAGCCAAATATGCAAACACAGTTTTGTTCTTATTCTGCCCACAGCAATTATTCGCAGAAAGAGCACACTCTTTCTCACCTGGCCCGTGATGCTCGAAGTAGTGGTGCAACAGGGTGACGACACTGTTGGGTCCGTGGCTCTTGCTACCATTGGTCGGTCTCATCTAGGAGGTAGTTGATTTGTGCTGGAATCGCTTCATTGTTGACCCCGGAGATTTGCACCTTCCGTGGCACTTTACCGGTAGATTGGACCAACTTGACGGGACTCATGCGGAATGCAAACATTCTGGGCAAAGTCAAATGTATAATGGGTCTTAAGCGCTAACGTGGAACATGGCTGCTGTGGTGCACTAGGTAGCGGCTGGATTGCCTTGAGTTGATCCGAGGCAGTCTGAGTCAGTTTACGGTAGTGGTCTCGTTCTCGGTGAGCAGTCGCAATGTGATTAGATAGCAATGTGCACGCAGCCAGCTTGTCTTGTTCGGTGAGTGATGTCATAACACCACGTCGTAGCACTTCACATAGGTCATAGACATCCGTGCGCGGTGTCATGAACACGATGTGAGGCGTACATTGGTGCCAGACCCTCCTGAACGATGACTCGCCCATTACACGCACACCTGCTAGATTGCCTGCTGCAACATAGTCTTTGTGGACACTTTTGTATGTTTGACTGGCTGGCAGGAACACTGGCGGTACTCCCGCTCGCCCGTGCAGAGGTGCTGGGTGTGGTATGCCGTGCTTGTTGCTGTGTGCGTTAATAAACGTTACTGCGTATTTCACTTCCTCAAATTTAAACGCATTCGCTGGACGCCTGCCTGAGTTCCCATTGCGTCTGGGAACAGCCCCATGCTTGTACAAATGCTGAGAGATGCGTTTTGAGCTTGTCTCTCCCAACATCGTTAATGTATCGGAATGCACCCACACCCACCCTCTGGCTTTGGAAGGCATAGCTGAATGCCTCCCGCACACGCTTTCGTTTGTGAGCCGTTTCTCTGGGTGCGAAACGGATGGCCTCCAACACACCCATCAGCATCATGTCAAACTCCAACTTATCCAGCTCCTGCACATTGAGCCGATTCTGCTGAATGTCCTCCAGGCGGAATTGTGACAAACAGTTCCTAAAACATCCGCAATTTGGACTAGCAGCAGCTGCAGTTGCGCTGGCTTGTTCAACTGCCACAGGACCAGGCGCTGGTGCATCGGGCTCACTCATCTCACCATCAGAGTCATCCATTGGCTCATCATCACTGCTTGCTCGCCTGCTGAAAGCGTTGGCAGCCACATCGATGTTGAGTTCAGCGGCCAAGAAATGCTCACTGTCGCTGTCATCGGCATCGTACTCCGTATCCGATCCAGGCTCGTCCAACGCGACGCCATTAACAAACTCTTGCTCGTCTT